ACGGAGCATTGTTTGACGTGCAACAGAGCTCCGTTTCCAAGTTAGTTCGGATGGTGCTGGGACGGTTGCACAGAGTGAGAGTGTGTTGTCATCCGGCTGGACATTTAAAGTTGGTGACGAGGGTTATCTGTGTAACCTATATTATATTTCAGTTTAAAATTGGGGTGAAACACAGATGTTTCACATTAAGACTGGCATGTTTCAGCATCTTCCCCCCCCCTTTTATGTGCCTTTTAAAGGTTCACACCTGGCGATGCTCAGGGGTTCCTCCTGGCTCTGCATTCAGGAATTATTCCTGGCGGTGCTCGGGGGACCCTGTGGGATGCCGGGGATCAAACCTGCGTGCGAGGCAAGCGCCCTCCCCCCATACTGTTACTTGGGCCCCATGTGTCAGCATCTTGAGTAACCTGAGGTCTGTCAGCTACAGAGCAGGAGAGGAGGCGGTTGTTAGGGTGTTTCCAACAGTGGGGTCGGTCTTGACTCCCCTGGGCTCGGGAATCAGAAAAATAGGTTGCAGGTTGTCAGACAGCTAACGCAGAAACAAAACCCAACGCTTATTAGTATTTATTTATTAAATCCATCACATTATTCCTTCTAGTCCATCTGCCGCCACTCGGGTGGGGGTGGTCCTAGAAATTTGGGGCAGTTCTCCGGGAGTTTTTCCCACCAGCCGGTGTCGGGCCCCCAGGCTGATGGCCCAGGGTTCCAAGTCTGGCTCCTGGGCCGGAGGGAGGGTCCATGCGTAAGGGACTTTCCTTTCCGCTGACTCAGGTTCCAACCCGGGCACCGCAGGTAGCCAGAGCCGCCCCAGGAGTGACCCCTGAGCACAGACAGCAGCTGTCGGGGCCTGAGCTGCTGTGTGGACTGAGTTTCCTCCGGATCTGAGGCTGAGTGAAGTGACTCGCCCTCACAGGTCACGCAGCCCAGGGCCCAAGACACGGCCTGGACGCAGGCAGGCGCCGGGGCTGGCAGGCACACGCCACTCCCTGACGTGCTATGAGGGCAGAGCCTCCGCCTCCACGGGCCTGGGCGCCTCGGCGCCGCTGTCACCGCATCTGGGTTTCTGTTCCTGGGTTTAGTCACCGTCCAGAGTTTCACTGTGCCGGAGTCTGAGGCAAAGGCCGGCCCTGACTGCTTCATTCCTTGGCGAGGGGGTGACCGTGGGGTCCGTGCTTGCTGAGGGGCGTGACTGGGGTCAGTGTTTTGTCAGGGGTGTTGAATTGGCCTTTCTTCCTGGCCGGTGCTCCCAGAGCAGGTGATGTGCTCCCCGGGGCCGTGGGGATGGTCTCAGCCGTCCCAGGCCCCACTGGAAAGAATTGCACCGCAGCTCTCGAACAGCGAGACTGCGGAGGAGAGAGAAGTGCCTCTCCTGGAACATTCCCTGAAAGCCGAGTGGAGCATTCCGGGAAGAGATAAGGGGGTAGGAGATAAGTGGACCGCAGGCTGTTGGGTCACTGTTCCTGTCAGGGCCCCTGCGTGTCCCCGGTGGCCCCCAGCAACATACGGTCTGGCCCCTTAAGCCGCAGAACAGCACGGGCCAGAGCTGCTCAGCGCTGGGCACGGAGGAGGTCCAGACCCCGTCGTCAGCACGTGTGGTCACCAGGCACTAGAAGGAGTGACCCCTGGGCACAGCCGGGTGTGGCCCCCAGTAAGAAGGTCGGACACAGAAGGGAGTTTGTGCTCTGCAGCCTGAGCTATCGCCGCGGCCCCCGGAGGTTTTCTTTCTTGGGGGGGGGCCATAGCTGGTGGTCTCAGAGGTTACTCCTGGCTCTGCATCTCGGGATCACTCTCCTGGTGGGGCTTGGGGAACCATATGGGGCACGGGGGATCGAACTGGGGTCAGCCACGTGCAAGGCAAGCGCCTCACTCTCTGTCCTATGGCTCCGGCCCCCTGGGGTGAATATTCTTTTTTTTTTGTTTGTTTCCAGCTTTTTGGGTCACTCCTGGCAGGGCTCAGGGGACCATATGGATGCTGGGGAGTGGACTGCTGTCGTTCTGTGGGCTTTGCTAGCATTGCGGTGGCATTTCTCTTCCGTATCTCTGTCCTGCGCGAAGTATTCCTCTCTGGTCCTCCCCCTGCAGTGACCTTGTTTCGTTGACTGGATTGTCCTTAAAGACAGTCGCCGCTCTGCTTCCTGCCGCGGAAGCCTGTTGGCGCAGACGGGCTGTGTGTGCCCCACTGGTGGCGGGCGGCCACCCTCGAGCACGGGCCCACGCTGAGCCGGGTCCCACAGCGGGAACAGTGGCTCGTCTGTCCCCCTTGGCCTTGACCGCGCTCTCAGTGTGTGACCGGAAGGGAAAGTAGGGCTCCTGGCTGCTGCCAAGGGCATCGGCCGCCCGGGGCGCCCTCCCTGCCAGGCTCTCCCAGCCCTGCCCCTGCCGCTGTGCTGAACTGGGAAAGCCCTGCACCCTGGACACAGTGAAGCGCCTGCCCTTGCTCGGGGCGGACCCTGCCGAGATTCCCCTGGGGGTCAGGGTGCCCGCACCGGGGCCCAGTGGAATTGGGTTTCTCCCCCAGGAGGGGGCCTGCACCGTGGCCGAGCCTACAGCCTGCCCACTGCCTCAAGCCACTCGCACTGCCACGGTTCTGGGTTTGCCGGCACGGCTGTCCCCAGCCCTGCTGACGTGTGCCCGATTCGCCCCTGTGCCCGGCGTTCAAGAGAGCGGTTGTGGGATCAGCCAGTGGCTTTCTTTTATTTATTTTTGGGGGACGGGATGGGGGGATCACGCCTGGTGGTGCTCAGGGATCACTCCTCATGGGGCTCAGGGGCCCATCCAGGGTGCTGGGGATCGAACCCGGACCGGCCGTGTGCCAGGCCAGTGCCCTGCCGCTGTCCTGTCTCTCGGCTCCACCACTTGGTTCCGTTGCTGTTTCTGGGCCTGGCCCGGCAGTGCTGAGAGGGTCGGGTACCGTGGGGCGCCAGCACCGCCTCCTCCCCAGGGCTGGGATGCTGGCGCTTGCAGACAGGCTGGGCTCCGGGTCGCTGGGCCCCGCTGCAGCCGCCTTGAACCCTAGCTCACAGGCTTTGCCCGCTCTCCATTACAGGGGACGGTGCCTTTCGGGTGGGCAGAGGTGGGGCCACATCTGGCAGTGCCCGGGGCCCATCTGGTCTCTGTGTTGGTGCTGAAGGGATCAGGAAGTGACAGGGAGTGGACCAAGGGCAGTCACGGGTAAGGCAAGGGCCCTCTGCTGTCTGGCCCCCGTAGAAGGGACATTTCTCGGGGTGACGCCAGAGCGCATCCCAGTTTATGTCGTCAGAGCCTCCAGCGTCACACTTGGCTCTGGAAAACTCCTTAAGATCTGTTGTTCCTTCCGATCAGGGCCAGGAGTGATCCCTGAGCACCATCGGGCGTGGCCCAGCCCCCGTGCACCCCAAGACTAACTGAGATAAGAATAGAATTTAGAGTGTCAGGAGAGAGTTCAGCAGGCAGGGCGCTTGCCTTGCCTACCAGATGGCTCGCCAGGCCTTGATTCCCGGCATTCAATATGGTCCCCTGAGCCCACCAGGATAATCCCTGAGCACTGCCCGATATGGCCCCCAAACCGAAACAAAAACCCGAAAAGTAGAATTTAGAGGTCCATAGAGATAGTATAGGGTTCAGGCACTTGTCTCTTTCTTTTGGGCCATGCGTGGTGATGCTCAGGGCTCTTCCTGGCTCTGCACTCAGGACTTACTCCTGGCGGTGCTCAGGGGACCATATGGAGAGCCGGTGCTCGAACCCGGGTCGGCTGTGTGCAAGACCTTAACAGCTGAACTATTGCTCTGGCCCCTGAAGTACTTGTCTTTTTTTTTTTTTTTTTTTTTTTTTGCTTTTTGGATCACACCCGGCAATGCACAGGGGTTATTCCTGGCTCATGCACTCAGGAATCACTCCTGGCAGTGCTCGGGGGACCATATGGGATGCTGGGAATCGAACCTGGGTCGGCCGCGTGCAAGGCAGACACCCTACCTGCTGTGCTATCGCTCCAGCCCCTGAAGTGCTTGTCTTAGTCAAGAGTGGCTCCAAACCAAACATGACCCCCCACCCCGCCTTCCCACCACATGCACACACAAATTGAGAAATTTTTACTAATGTTGGCATGAAGTGGTAGATAGGAGAAGTATACTTTAATTTCTTTGCCTGTTTGTGTTGGGTTTTGGGTCGCACCCGGCGATGCTCGGGGCTTACTCCCGGCTCTGCATTCAAGAGTCACCCCGGGTGGTGCTCGGGGGGCCCTGTGGGGTGCTGGGGCTTGAACCTGTGTCGGCTGTGGGTAAGGCAAGCGCCCTACCCTCTGTACTATAGCTCCTGCCCTGGTCTGTCTTAAGAAGAAAGCTCTGGAGGAGATAGCTTAAGGACGGTTACCGTGGTTGAATCTCTGAGCCGTTTTGAGGGGGTGAGATACTGGGTCACACCCAGTGGCGCTCAGGGCTTACTCCTGACTCAGTGCTCAGAGGGTTACTCCTGGTGGTGCTCAGGGGACAGTTGCCTGCAAGCTATCCCATCACCCTTGCCCTGGCCCCAATAGTGGACATTTCTGCTTTTTGTGTGCGTGTGTTTGGGGGGGGGGGTCCACACCCAGCTGTGCTTGGGACTTACTCCTGGCTCTGGGCTCAGGGATCACTCCTGGCGAGCTTCAGGGACCCTCTGGGGTGCTGGGGATCGAGCCCGTGTTGGCCTTGTGTGAGGCGAGCGCCCTGCCGCGTGTCGGGGGCTTTGAGTGTAGTTTCATTATTCTTTTGGTTCTGGGTATCAAACTCGGGGCATCCCACGCGCAGGCGGGTCTCTGCTGCCGGGCTCCCTCCCTGGCCAGTAGTGGGGCTTGGGCTTAATTACTAGAAGGATTGGGACTTGCAGGAATGTTCCGGGGGCTCCCAGGGTCGGGGGTTCTCAGGCTTGTCCCCTCCAGGGCCCCTGCGTTTGCAGGCGCACACATCCAGTCCCACGCACTGGGAGCAGAGAGGAGCGGGGGGGCGGAGGCCGAGGCCGGACACTCACTGTCCTTTTGTCTCTGACAGGGGAGGCCTCAGCAACATGCTGTTCCAGTGCTCCTTCCCCGACACCCTGGCCACGGTGGGCGACGAGCCGCGCAAGGTGCTGCTGCGACTGTACGGGGCCATCCTGAAGATGGTGAGTGGGACGCGGCGGGGCGCCAGTGCGAGCTCTGGTTGGTTGGACGGGCTCGTGTGTGCGCCCTCGGTGAGATCCTCTGTCTGCTTAATGCTTATTAGCCAACCTGTACAAACAGTCCTGGTTTTTCCCTCCAGAAAGAGCGACGCTGTTAAGTCGTGGGTGGTGTCTGTGAGGCCGGTGCTTTCCGCACATCATCACTCAGGCTGCAGTGTAATCACCCTCGCCCTGAGCACAGAGTCCGCGCTGTTCAGGTTTCTTACCGCCACCTGATCTCAAAGCGTCTTGATTGTTGCCCGGTCTTCACCGGTTGGGGGATACGCCGAGGACCCGGTTGTTGATTTCGATTTTAAACCTCTACCGGGAATGTCTCGTCCCGCGGCCCGACACAGTTTTGGCCGTGCAGTTCCCTGGCAGTGCTGTTTAGCATCCACTTCCCTTTTCTTGGGGAGAGCCGGTCAAGAAGTTGCCTGGCTTCACTTTTCCAGAGGTCGGTCTAAAACGCAGGTCACGTCCAAGTCAGTGAAAACTAGGTTTTGGAAATACCCAAAACCGGACTGGCACTGTGGGTGTCAGTCCATGTGGGAATTGGCCCTGGGGCCCCAGAGGTAGGGCAGTGGGCCAGGGTTCAGTCCCCTGACACCCCGTACGGTCCCCTGAGCACAGCTGGCAATGGCCCCAACCCAGACACAGACAGACCAAAAGGAGTCAAAGTGTGCTTGTGAGGGGCCTTCTCCACCTGGGCCCGGAAGTGGCCGTTTCTCGCCCAGTGGGGCCCACGCCGTGGCTGGACCCTGGGAGCAGTGGCCCCGTGCCACGTGCCCGGGGCTGTCCGTGTCTCCGAGTGGCAGTGTCCCAGCTCAGCGTTTGAGAACCCGGACGATGTCCTCTGGCCCCTGTAACGACATCCGTCTCTGGCTGTTGTGCTTTGAGCACCGTGGTGGGCGATAGGGTTCATTTGTTCCCAGCTGACCAGAGTGCTGGCGTTGTGCCTGCTGGCCTGCAGTGCCCAGGTGGCCAGTGGACAGAGGTGAGGAGCGGAAATGGCACTGGGCTCCTCTCGGAGTATCAACCCCCGGGGGCCGGGCTGCTGACTGAGCCCCCCGCAGTCGGGACAGATGCTTCCCTCCTCCCTGAGGAGAGTGACTAGACACTGATACTGGGTCCCTTTGAATCCAGCTAACCACTCATAGTAGCCCCCTAGAGTAGTTAAACACAGTAAAAACGTCCGGGGAGAAAATCCACAAATTCTGTGTCCCTGTGTTTAAGGAGAAGGGAGCCTTGGGATCACAGGACGCAGAGGGCAGAATCATTGAAGTCATTTGATTTTTATGTTTGTTTGCATTTGGGGTCACACTTGATGGTGCTCAGGGGTTCCTCCTGACTCTCCACTCAGGAATCACTCCTGGCAGGGCTTGGGGACCATGCGGGATGCCGGGGATTGAACCTGGGTTGGCCGTGTGCAGAGCAGACACACTACTGCCCCGGCCCCTGAAGTCATTGGAAGTAGAGTTAATTCGGAGTCCGGCTGTGGCCACACGCGTCCTGGCTGGGCTGGGAGCACCCCCACCGACAGGCTGAGCTGCGCGGGAGAGGGAGCCCGGCTGGCCAGCTGCCGTGGGGCTCGGTGGCTCGAGGAGGCCAAGGGAAGGGACGTGGAGCAGAGACGGACAGGGAGAGGGGTCGGTGCGGGTGGGTGAGCCGGCGGCCACGCTGTGCCTCCACACAGCAGACAGCTCGCTCATTTTTGTTGGAAAAACGCTGTTCTTTGCTGATAGGTTGGAGTCTCTCTTCTCAGTGTAATGACTGAGTGGAGTCGATTCGTCTAAATACTGAGAAGCCCAGAGCCTCACACGTAAGCATGTTTCGTGACCCACCGCCAGCGAGCACAGTGCCGGGAGCCCGGCTGGCCAGCTGCCGTGGGGCTCGGTGGCTCGAGGAGGCCAAGGGAAGGGACGTGGAGCAGAGACGGACAGGGAGCTGCCGGCGCCTTTATTATTATTATTTTTTTATTTTTTACTTTCTTGCTTTTTGGGTCACACCCAATGATGCACAGGGGTTCCTCCTGGCTCTGCACTCAGGAATCACCCCTGGCGGTGCTCGGGGGACCATATGGGATGCTGGGAATCGAACCCTGGTCGGCCGCGTGCAAGGCCGACGCCCTCCCCGCTGTGCTATTGCTCCAGCCCCGGGCAGCTTTAGAAGTTGAGCTCGACAGGGATTTCACCATCGATCGTCAATGTTTTCCCCAAATATTTTGCACGTGGTTTAAGTTTCCCCCACCCCCTGGGCTGGGAGCACGGTCTCAGGCGTGAATCTGGCCTGCAGAAAGGGAGCAGCTAGGGGTCACGCTGAGGCTCCTCCTCTGTCAGAGCAGAAGTCACAGAGCCTGTTGTGCTGGTGAGAAAGGGCCGCAGTTAGGAGCAGTGAAAGCAGACCCGGAGCCCAGGCTTCCGTCACGTGTGGAGTCAGGATGGAATTGAACGTGACCCAGCCCCCAGGCCCTGCCCTCCTGTCTCCACGCCCAGGGCCACCCCCCCAGGGTGCTGGCACCCGCGCCTCCTTTGGGAGAGGCACACGGGTGGACGTGTCACCACCGGGTGCGTGTGCGCCTGGCTAGTCGGCCTCTCCCGTTCTCCTCGTGAGCTTTGGGATTTTTACCTTTGAGAATCAAATCCAAGTAGAACTGCCGAGCGCTCTGAGTCCCAGGCAAGTGATGATTTCAGATGCCGAGACAGTCTTCAGCTTTCCCACTTTCCATCATCGTGGCTCTTGGAGCCGGGTGGCGGCCCTTCTTCCATAGTCGCAGTGAAGTGGCTGGGGCTTGGTCACCACTGGGGCCAAGGCCATGCTGTCCCCGGGAAGGCCAGCCTGGCACTCCCAGCTCTGCTCGCCTCCGGTCCCCAGGACTTCCAGGAGAATCTGAATGGGACAAGATTGAGACGAGACACGAGGCCTTAAGAAAGAGGTCCACAGTATTAGTGTTTAAACACCCTTAACCAGGATCCGGGTCTGAACTTAAGGTGGTATATATATCACTGTAATTTAGTCTTAGACTCTTAGAGTAGCTTTAATTTTAATGAGGAGGTTATTTTCTTAGCTTCTTACTTGAAGAAAACTGAGTTCAACTTTTTTATAAGCGTATTCAGCAGCTCTTCATAACAGATAATGCGAAACATATTATTTCGGTTGTGTTTTGGGACAGGGATTGGGGTTTGAGATGGAAACATCCCGAATTTGGTGGTGGGAAGGTGTATGGTGGTGGGATTGGTGTTTGAAAATTGAATGTAGTCAAACATTGTGAACTAACTTACAAAATTTAAAAATTAAAATAAAAGGTAATGTGGAATTCATTCCCAATTCAATCAGCTTAATCAATGGCTAAATAAATAGCAGTGCTCCTACATTATTGGGGGAAAAAAACCCTGAGTTCAACCATAAAACCATCATTAACCAAAGCAAGACAGTAAATAGCCGTTTCGAGGCACCAGTCTGTCTTTGCAGAAGGAAACTTCTAGAAGAGAGCGCAGAATAGCAAGGTTGCTCTCCGTGTAACTTGATTTCCCCCTTCTGATCCTGGGAAGGAACATGAGCTCTGCGGTGCCCGGTAGCAGCCTTCGCTGCGTACAGTGACCAGTTTGCTTATTTGTCCTGAGTTGTGGAAGACACAAATGTCAGTGCGTCTTGTCCACTCGGCGTCGCCTGTGCGTGTGTGTGTGTGTGCGTGTGTGTGTGTGTGTGTGTGTGTGTGTGTGCTGTGGGTGAGCAATCTGCCTCCCTGGGCAAGAAGGTTCCTGATACACTTCGACCGTCTCTCTTGAGCGTCGTCTGGGAAAATGTTGTCTTGTCTCTTGAGTACTAGAAGGCAAATCTTAGTGCTTGTTTGACTGCTGACCTTCATATAATGAAAAACGCCAAGGCACAACGCAGGTGTGATTCGGTGACAGGAAAGACACGGTCCTTAGATTCCAGGAAAGCCATGGCATCTTACCCTCAGAGAGATTAGAAATTAAGCCCCACTCGAAAATGTGGACCCTCCCACAGAGGGGAGCAGCGCGCCGGGCTGTGGCTCCGAGGAGGGGACTCTGAGGGCCTCTCCTGCCGGACACGGGCGCTGACCGCGTAGACGTGGGCGCTCAGCGTGCTCCCGGGCGTTGCAGCCTGGTCGCTGGGGGCCCACTACTGCGAACCATCCGGATGTCTCTGAATTAAGTTGACTTTTTGCTGCGTCAGAAACAGCCCCTTGCACCTCCATACAGTGCGGTCACAGGCGGCCCCAAGCAGTCTGTGCGGACACAGCGCTGGGCGCCAACACCTCTCCGCGCTGGGCACGTTCCCATGGGCGTTGGGCCTCTTGTTTCTGGGCCTCTCCTCGGCTCATCCCCCTGGGACGTCGCCAGTGACTCCAGCCCTCCCGTGCCTGCTCTGTCGTGCGCCTCTGGGGACACCACATACTCCCGTGTAGCCTGGACATGGGAAAGTGTCTGTCCGCGGCTCTCGGCGGGCGCGGGGACGCCACCTCAGCTGTGTGCCTGTCTTTTCCGCTGCAGCCTTGGCCGTGCTGTCATGCCTGGAGCACTCCGGTTTCCAGGTGACAGACACAGACACAAGTCACCATATAGTATGAATCCCCTGAAGTTGAGCGTTCTCCACCGCTTCCTGCCTTTCTGTAGTTCTGGGTTTTAAGAAATGCTTTGTGGTTTTTTGTTTTTTTCTCTTTGGGTCACACCCGGCGATGCACAGGGCTGACTCCTGGCTCTGCACTCAGGAATCACTCCTGGCGGTGCTCGGGGGACCCTATGGGATGCTGGGGGTTGAACCCGGGTCAGTCACGCGCAAGGCCAATGCCCTCCCCGCTGTGCCATCGCTCCAGCCCCAAGAAATGCTTTTTAAAAAGAAAGCTGTCCCGCTTTTGCCCAGAGGCACCAGCTTTGGCGTCGGCCTCGCTGGGAGGTGCAGTGAGTGTGGCTCTGAGCGCTGGGGGCCCCGCCCGTTTCTTCTGTTTCCTCAGTAGAAAATGGCAAACTCGGGGCGTTGGGCCTGGCGGGCCAGGCCTCCTCAGGGCCTCTCGGCGGAGGAATGCTGTGATGCTCTGGTCCAGGCTTTCTTACTGCTCCTAGCAGAGAGCTTCGTTCCTCTCTCCGTGAGCCCCCAATACTGTTGGGGAGCTCACAGCCCCCCAGTCCTGCCCACACACACTTAGAGCCTCGGCCTGCAGCAGCCCTGGGGTTGGGGCCCACGCACGGGCCTTCTGGGGCACTGGACAGGGAGTCCTCTGCTGGCCCCCACGCTTCTCAGCGCTGTCTTTTGCCTGCCCAGAGTGTTGTCGAAGTTCTGGCTTGGGCCCGGGGCGTGTCTCGGTGGTAGCGTTTTGCCTCGAGTGCTCGGTGCTCTGGGTTCGGCCCCGGTGCTGCCAGAGACACTTTCCTCGTGGACTTCTGTCTCCTCATGCCCGAGGGTTAGCACCCGGTCCTGCTGCGTTCAGGCGCTGGGACTGGGGCCAGGGCCCGTAGGACAGCAGGCAGGGCACTCGCCTTGCACGCGGCTGACCCGGGTCTGGTCCTCAGCGCCTGTGTAGCCCCCCCCGAGCGCTTCCAGCAGTAATTCCCGAGCTGCGCCCTGGCACCCTGGGTGTGGCTCCCAACCCAACAAGGCCTAGGCTGTTTGGGGGTAACTGAGGGTTGTTGATGACTTCATCATTTTTTCCACAGAGGCACCAATATTGCTTCATGCCTTTGGTGTTGCTACACTGCGTCCACTGCCAGGAAGGATCCTTCCACTGCCTGGGGTATCCCTGGGGGTCAGGGAAGGTTCTGCGGAGACTTCCACACAGTGTTAGAAATCACTTGTCTGATGCTGAGCAACTGGACAGCAGGAGGCACTTTCTTTGCCTGCCGCTGACCTGGCTTCAGCCCTGGTATCACGCAGGGTCCCCCGAACCCCGCCAGGAGGAACCGCTGAGCAGGGCCAGGTGTGGCCCCAAAACAGAACAAAGGAAAGGACCCCGTGGTCTGAATTTCTTTCTTTTCTTTTCTTTTTTATTTTTTTGCTTTTTGGGTTACACCCGGCGATGCACAGGGATTGCTCCTGGCTCTGCACTCAAAAGCTACTCCCGGCGGTGCTCAGGGGACCAGATGGGATGCTGGGAATCGAACCCGGGTCGGTCGCGTGCAAGGCAAACGCCCTACCCGCTGTGCTATCACTCCAGCCCCATCTGAATTCTTAAAAATCACAGGAGCAGTAGTACAGGAGGTCTGGCACTTGCCTTGCACTTGGCTGACCTGAGTTCGAGCCCCGGCACCCCGTGTGGTCCCCTGATCATGGCCAGGACGAATTCCTGAGCGCAGAGTCGGCAGGGCGCCCCTGAGCCTCGCCAACTGCCAGATGAGGCACAGACACCACCACCACCACCAAAAAGAAAAAAAAAACAAGTCACAGGCAGCTCCCAGAAGCTGGACATGCGCAAGTCACTGTTGGCTCATATTTTAATGCGGTTCTGTAAAACCTTCCCATGAGCTGCTGCAAACAGCACAGAGGCGGTCAGGAGAGAAACCAGGGGGGAGGCCCATGAGGGCGACCCGGGGACGTGCTCCGTGTACAGCTGACGGCCCCTGGCCGCTGTCCACCTCGGGCAGCCTGCCCGGCCTCGCTTTCAGAGCGAGGGGGAGCCTTGGGAAACCGAGCCTGCACTGGGACGCGCTTTTTGTCTCGAGTATAAAAGCCTTTCTCAAGTGAAGTGTTTCAGGGAAGCAGCATTCGAAGCCTGCGCCAAAGGCATCGTCCAAGTGCCAGGCGCTTCTCGGAGCTGCTTTGGGTCTGGGCGCGGGAGGTGCCCCGGGCTCACGGCGCGCCCCGCTCCCGAGCCTCACCCCTGCTCCCCACACTCGGTAGAAGTAAGTGTGCGAGGGGGAAATTCCGTTTCCTCCTCCGCCTGGCTAATGGGTAATGGTACTTTCTGGAATTCAGGTCTTAAATTTTAAAGTTTGTTGAGTGAGCAGTTCCCGAGGTAGGATGGAGATGAATTCCTGGCAGTGCCCGGGCCCCTGAGCATCCCCGGGACCACCCAGAGCACTGTGGAGTGTGGCCCCTCCCTCTCTCTTCTTCCCCCGCTTTTTACGTCACCCCTGGCAGTGCTCAGGGGTAACTCCTGGCTCTTCACTCAGAAATCACCGTAGCGGAGCTTGGGGAACCATGCGGGATGCCGGGGGTCGACCCCGAGTCCCCCAACCCCGTACTATCACCCCGCCCCTCGCCTCACCTTTCTTCGGGGAGTTTCCATCTAGACCATCAAAGCTCTTTAAAAAGACACGAGCCCTATAATTCTCACGTCAGATTTTTTTTTTTGATTGTTTGGGTCACACCCAGTGATGCACAGGGTTTACTCCTGGCTCTGCACTCAGGAGTTACTCCTGGCGGTGCTCAGGGGACCCTATGGGATGCTGGGGATGCTGGGAATCGAACCCGGGTTGGCTGCGTGCAAGGCAAACACCCTACCCACTGTGCTATCGCTCCAGCCCTCTCACATCAGATTTTTAAGTAATTACTGAATATAAAATCATTTGTCGTCAGATTTGTAATAGGGAGCATTTGGATTTTATTATATGATTTAGGGAATATCTTATTTATTTGGGCCATGCCCAGCGACGCCCAGGGCTTTACACCTGACTCTGCTGAAGGGGCACTCCTGAGGGAGTATTCCTGGCTGGTCTCCAGGGACCTGGTTGTGTTTGGGTTCCAACATGGCTGTCCCCTTGTGTTACCTCTCCAGTCCCTTATGAAACTTTCATTAGAATTTAAAATAGTTGGAGGAAAATTTGGAGCCTACGAACGGTTTGAGGCTCTTTGTGTTCCTGGAGAGAGCAGACGCCATTGGGCTACGCTGGCACATGACAGGGATGAATGGAGACGTTACTGGCGCCCACTCGAGCAAATTGATGTGCAACGGAATAAGTGACAAGTGACTTTTTTTTTTTTGCTCACTCTCTATGTGTGTGTATATTTACACACATGTGTACTGAGGCGACGGAACGCGGGCTTCAATGGTGTTCTGACAGGGCAGGGCCGGCTCAGTACTTCATGTGGAAACATGTATTTATTACATCCATGAAGACAGGCCTGTTACGGTTGGCGCCTGGGCACGGAGTGGCGGCTTCCGAGAGCACCGTCCGAGGGAAGGGTCTTCTGTGACTCAGGACCCCCCACTGCAGCTCCCTAAGATCCAGATCGAAAATAGCAGCCCCGTAGCCCTTGAGGATGTCCGAAAGCGGTGCCCAGGTCCAACCCCGTTCCCGCCGCAGGTCACGGCCCTGCTGACTCCCGCTGCCACCAGCCTCTTGGAGCTCCCGGGAGCCAGGGCAGCAGGGGGCTCTGGGGCTTAGCACCCCCTTCCATCAATACAGTTCTCTCGTGCCAGGGCGCCGGCTGGCCTGTCCCCCTACACCAAGGCCTGTCCCCTCTGCTGGGGCCTGCCCCCTACTGTGCCCCCTCTGGCCTGCCCGCCCGTGCCCTGTTCCTTGCGTGGGCGTCGCTGCATGGGGGTTCCCTCTGCAGCCCCCCGCTCCTCACTGGGACCGACCCATAGTAGGCACACAGTGGAGTCCCACTGAGGAACGCCAGAGTCAAGTCCCAGGTGACACACACGGAACAGGGGCCCTGAAGTTAGGGGTCAGGCCTTGCCGCCTCCTCCCACCTGGCGAAGGCTGCCACTCTCTTCCTCGGGCCTCACGGTTTTGCAGCTCATCGTGAAGGGATTTAACCCGTGGTGCTTTTTTGTCAGAGAAACGCAGGACAGAGAGAGAGAGCAGCGAATAGTCCCCGTTTGTACTCTGCACTTCGTACAGGATGTCCCCTCCTGGGGGCTACCGTGTGCCTGCCCGTGCCTTGGGCCGCCCTGGGCACCTGCCTGGGCGCTGGCGAGCAGGACGAGGCTCCCCCGCCGCCCGGAGCAGGCGTCCTTGGCACCGCGGTGGAAGGGAAGGGGGTTGTTCCTGGGGCCTCCGAGAACTCGCCCGTCCACCTTCAAAGCGCTTCCCTGTGGGCAGGCCCGGTGTCACGTGGTAGGGGCCTTCCCCGTGCCAGTGTTTGGACTCGGGATCCTGACACGAGCAAGTTTCGGGGCTGTCCTGGCGAGCGTGGCGTGCGCCCTCCCCCTGCCCTGCCCGCACGGCTCTTGCCGCTGCCTCCATTTCCTGCTGACGCAGCTGGGCCGGAGCGTGACCCGGTGTCTGTGGCCGGAGGACCCCGCCGACCCTCCCTGCGCAGTGACACTGGGACAAGGTTCGCCCCGTCGACTGCACGCCCCATCCTGGTGAAGGGGGGTGGCTGAGAGCGGGCTCAGGGGCGAGTGGGACAAGTCCCGCACTGAACACGAGTGTGGGCTGAGTACCCCCCTCGGGCACCCCGGCTGGCCTGGTGGCCGCGGCTGGTGTGGTCACGGTGCCGCCTCTCACCGGAAGTGTTTGCTTTTTCTCCCCCGTAGAGGTCCTTTAATACGGAGGGATCCGAACAAGCTCAGAAAGAAAGTGAATGTCAAGTGAGTGAGTTCCCAGGCGTCTGGGCGAGGGCGACCTGCTCTGGGCGGCCTGTCTCAGTGGACAGCTGCGCCAGAGGGCCTGGCGTGTCCCGGTCCTGCTGGGAGAGCAGAGTCAGGAGCCGGCGTGCAGGAGCCGTGCTCGGTGCGGAGAGGGCGGGTGGGCGTCTGGCCGTGTGTTTGCGCGGGGGGCAGCACCCAGTTCCACGGCTGCCTGTGGTGTGGGGGGTGGCCATCCCGGGGGGCAGCAGCCTGTGGTCCTCCCCTGCTCCCGCCGGCACCCAAGAGGCTCCCCAAGGGCTGGTCTGTTCTGGAGAGACACGTGCACCTTCAAGGGAGGAGTGGGGTGACGGCTGCGCCCAGAGGGGCATGTCCGACTGCCTCCCCGTCCTCCCCGCTCCAGGAGCGTGCTCTCACGCTACTCTGGCTCTCCTGGTGTCCAGGGGCCGCGCCAGGTGGTCTGTCTGTGGGCACATGGCCCCTGGCAGCGCCTCTGTGACAGTCGCAGATGGTGCGTTTGGGGCCAGCGGGCTGGGTTCAGGGCTGAGGGCGTCTCTCTGCTGGAAGCCGCTGGCCGAGTGGGGACCCCCCCACCCCCGGCCTCCTTCTAACTCGGGTCCTTGAGCGCCCTGAGCCCGTCCCTGACTCGACGTCCCTGCTCCCCGCCACCGCCCCCAGGGCCATTGTCACCCCTCACTCCTTGTCCGGCACTTTGTGACTTCCTGGGGCCCGGTGCCGGGTGCCCAGTGGACACCCGTGTTTCCTGGATGGGTAGTCGGGGACCCACTTTGGAAGCAGAGTGGACAGTTTCTGACTTAGGCATCAAGGTCTGTCCCGAGGAGGGGGCGGCTGGCTGTGTACACCCCAAGGGGTGGCGGGCACGGGGCTCAGCCAGGTCCCTCCGTGCCTCGCAGCAGGCGGAGGAAGGAGGGGGACCAGGGCATTGATAGTGGGGCGAGGCTCCCCCCTCACGCTCCCACCTCCCTCATTTCCGCGTCCACCCTCCCTGCTCCCCTCTCTTGCCCCCCACCCCCATCTCGAGGGTCTCCCCCGCACACACAGCATCAGGAGTCCCAGGCCCCGCTAGTGGATCTGCGTGGGAGCCGACAGCCCCGAAGGAGTGGCCACCACGGCCCCAAGCACAGGGCCTAGCTGCTGGCGAGGCCACCTGGCACAGTTGCTGGCCGGGACACCCCGGCGCCAGGAGCACCAGTGCCCGCGGCCCAAGGGTCCCGCCCCCACAGGTGGCTGGCAGACCGCGCCCCTTGCTCCGTGCCCAGGGACTGCGGTGCTCAGGCAGGGAGCTAGGGCTTTGCCTCTTTCAGGAAAGGGAAAGTCAGTTGGGACGTCCCCACACTGTCCCCTGGCTTTCCGGGAGTTCTGCTTATTATCACAGGAGGAAATTCCGGAGGGGAAGTTTCTGTTTGGTTTGTTTTTTGGGGGTGGGGTACGCCCCTGCAGGCAGGGCGGGTGCCCTCCCTGCTGTGCTCTGGCCCCATGAAGTGGAGATTCTTATTTTTTGGGGGGGGGTCACACCCGGCGATGCTCAGGGGTTACTCCTGGCTCTGCACTCAGGAATCACTCCTGGAGGTGCTCAGGGGACCATGTGGGATGCTGGGAATCGAACCCGGGTCGGCCGCGTGCAAGGCAAACGCCCTCCCCGCTGTGCTATTGCTCCAGCCCTGAAGTGGAGATTCTGTTAAGGTGGGCAGAGGCCAGAGAGAGGGCACAGCAGTGGCACGCAGGGGGCCCCGGTCAGTCCTGGGCACTGCTGGCCCTGCCCAGAGCCCACACAGAGAGCGGACAGGTGCTCAGCGGCCCCGGGCCCGGCGTGTCCGAGCGCTGCTCCTGCCGCTCGCTTTGATGCTCTTTCTGTCCTGCCCCTTTGTGTGGGCTTTTGTTTGGGGCCGTCCTGGGGATCCCCATTCTGCGCTGGGCTCCCGCAGAGCCGCGTCCGGTCCCCTGCCCGCTCCGAGCGCCCCTCGTTCCTCTGAGCTTTCTTCTCTCCGGAGGGGTCCGGCCTGGCGGCTGCTACACCCCCAAAGCGGGTCCCGTGTTTGCACACTGGGGCTGGAGCTCCCGGAGGCCTGGTGACTCCCTGCCTGCGCCGAGGGGGCGGGGGGCGCGGCTAACCATGGGTCTGGCTGATGACCGGCCCTAGGGAACTGATGAGCTTCGGGGACTCCTGGCCACGTGCTCACCTGCTCGGGAGGCTCCGAGAGTGCCAGGGACAGCTCAGGCGCCTTTGACCAGAGGGACGGCTGCAAATCTCAGACCTTTGAAGGGGAGGTGGTGTTAGGGGAGGCAGCCGGGGCGGCCCCGAAACCCACACAGAGCAGGTCTGATACAAGGACTCTAGAACCCAGTCACCACGGGGCCCTGCTGCGGTGCCCTCGCCGCAGACCACACCGGCAGGCGCTGGACCCGGCAGTCAGGATCTGAGCCTCGCGTGCGTGCGTGCGTGTGTGTGTGTGTGTGTGTGTGTGTGTGTGTGTGTGTGTCCTAGCAAACAGACCCATTTTCTGTCAGCGTATACTGGAGCTTGCGGACCCTCATCAGTACCTTTCCCCCTTTCTGCGGTTCTGGGGGTGATAGCCAGGTGCTTTCCCTCCCCTCCGCCCAAGACCGGGCAGGGCCCTTCTGCTGGGCCGCTCGCTCTGGCCGGGCCTGGCTCCTTGAATCAGCTCTGCAGGTTTGTCCTCCGTGTCCCTGCTCTGTCGCGCCTGCAGGCACCTCCCCCGCTCTGGCTTTGTGTTTGTGAGAAGAGTTTATGACGGGGCCGGAGAGAGTGTGTCTCTGCCCTTCTGGGGGCTCGGGTTTGAGCCCCTGCCCCACCCCCAGCTGCAGTCCTGGGGGGCCCAGAGCCCCGCTGGGTCCGTTTGAAAGGTTCTTTCTCGGGGGTCATCCCCGGCCTCCTGCCGGCTCATCGTAGCAAGGGCGAATCTCCTCTGGTGTTGGTGGACGTACGGTGCAGTGGGTGATGCACCATCCTGTGCCGGCCGGCGCTGGTTCAGTCCCCGACATCCTACACGGGCCCTGAGCACTGTCGGAGGAGGCCAAACCGAAGAGCGGAGCTGGGCCCCGCCCCTCTGCACCCCAACACCCCCCCACACACGGGAGGGACTCAGGCTGGGCAGCGGCCGTGAGCGGGGGCCGGGCCGGGTGGCCGCATCCGCCCGCGGAGCCGGGGTGCCCTTGGCCAGGTGGCCGCCCACCGTGCCCCGGAGTTCACCCCAGGACGGCCTGCACCGCGGGCACCGGGCGGGGCGTTGCGGCTGTGGCCTTTGAGAAGGTGCCAGGCCAGACGCAGAGAAGTTCAAAAATAAATCGAGCGATATGAAACATCGATCGAGGTTCTATTTTGGGCGCCGGCGACCTAGATCGAACTTGAACGGTGCGCCTGATCAATGAGGCCCCCGTGACCCCCACCCCCTCGCTGTCTGTTGCAGGGCGCCGAGGCCATGGTGCTGGAGAGCGTGATGTTCGCCATTCTGGCCGAGAGGTCGCTCGGGCCGAAGCTCTACGGTATCTTTCCCCAGGGCCGCCTGGAGCAGTTCATTCCGGTGAGAGGCGTGTGCCCGCCCGTGGTGGCGTCATGGGGCGGGGGGGGGGGGGGGGAGCAGGGAACGACTCAGTGATGCCACCGCGGCCCGGCTGCAGAGTCCAGAGCTCTGGGCCCAAGTCATGTGACACGTCGCCGCTGGACTGTGCCAGCGTCCCTCCTGCTGCCCCCTCCCCCCCGACTGTGCTGAGGCCAGGCCTCGCGGGAGGGCTGAGCCCATCTCGGAGCGACAGGACACAGGGAGGGCGCTGACCTTGCACACGGGGCCCCTGGGTTCGATCCCCGCATCCCGTATGGTCCCCGAGCCAGCCAGGAATCAGTCCTGAGCACCGCTGGGTGTGACCCCCAAACAACAACGAGAAACTGAAGCCGCAGGGCTGAGTACCTCCGGATGTGGCCCCAGGGCCCTGAGCCCTGCTCGGGGTGCCCCATCTCTGTGGAACCACAGCCAGTTGCCCAGGGCTTATGGGCAGACTTATGGTTATGGGTTTAGGGGGGGTTTCTGGTTTCTGGCCACACCCGGCAGTGCTCAGGGGTCACTCCTGGCGGGGCTTGGGTACCGTGTGGGGTCCCGGGGGTGGGTTGTGGCGCCCGGTGAGCCGTTTAAGGCAGGTCCTGACCCACGGTCTTCCCTCCCCGCCCCGGGGCCCAGCTTGGTGGCCTCGGCTTTGGCCCAGCTCATCTCGAGTGCTGGGGAGCTGGGTTCTGTCTCTCCTGGTCCCCTTCCGCAGGGCACAGGAGGGCAGTGACCGCTGAGCACGGGAGACTGTCTCATTTCTCAGCGTCCTGAGATCATGTGTGAGCACATTCGCGTTTCTGTCCTTTTATTTGTTCCCGCAGCGGTGGGCTGGACTCAGGCCTGTGCACGCCAGGGGGTCCTGCAGGCCCACGGGGGTGCCCTGCGCCCAGGGGTCTTCCTTGCCCTCCTCGGGGGCCCCGCGTAGGGGGGCTGTTGGCGCCAGGAGTGGGGGACAGTGCGTGCGTCTCCGGCTCCAGCTCGTCATGGGGGGTGTCCCTCTTGTTTAACTATGAAAGGGGACACAGAGACCTCAGCATCTTGCCCTTGGCCACACAGCGTCCGAGAGCGTTCCTGGGGCTGCTTCTCCTTGCAGTTCCCCTGGGTCCTTCCTGGGCTGTAGCAGTGCCTGGGGCCGTGCCTCCCCCCAGCCCGAGCACGGGGGCATGAGCAGAAAGTCCGTATGGAGCCTCTGCTTTGGTGGGGCTTTGCCCCCCAAAACCCAGTTTGGGGGTGCCAGGGACCCCATGAGAATGATGGGAAATGGCTCTGCAGGACCCTGACCCAAGTGTCCGAAGGCGGGGGGCAGGCTCGCGAGCACTGCGGCCTGGATGGGGGCGGGAGGGCGCCCAGAGGCTGGCGGAGGCCGACGGGGAGCCCGCCAGGCTAGGGGTGAGCGTCCCTACCAGTTGGGAGCCGGGGGTGGCGGCTGGACCCCAGCCGTGGGCCTGGCGCTGTGCCCTGCATGATGCCCCCGGGTCGGGTGGGGGGAGCCTCCGGTGCCCTCGGGGCTCGGCAGATGCCAGGTTCCAACTCCCTGCCCGATTTCAGAGTCGGCGCCTGGACACGGGCGAGCTGAGCCTGCCGGACATTTCTGCAGAGATAGCCGAGAAGATGGCCACTTTCCACGGCATGAAGATGCCGTTCAACAAGGAGCCCCGGTGGCTTTTCGGAACCATGGAGAAGTAAGTGGGGGCCCCGTGGCCATGGGGCCGTGGTGCCGGGCCACCGTCACCTGCTGCCGGCCCGTGACCCGTCCCCTTCGCCTCCAGGTACCTGAGCCAGGTGCAGAGGGTCAAGTTCACCGGGGAAGCCAGAGCCCAGCAGCTCCACAGGCTGCTCGGGTACGACCTGCCTCGGGAGCTGGAGAGGCTGAGGTGCGTGTCCTCTCCTGGGGCCCCGCGAGGCCGCGGGCAGGGCGGGCGCGAGGGGACGCGGGTCTCCGAGCAGCGGCCGTGGCGGCCCAGGACTGTTCGCTTCAGCGGGACACAGTGGGCAGTGGCCGGAGCTGCGAGGGGCGGCGTCCTGCACCCAGGCCTGTCCCGGGGGCCGAGCTCGGTCTGGGCGGGTGTGGGCGGGACGTGCCGCTTGCCGCGAGCTGCCCGTGATGCCCGGTCCTTCCCCAGGTCCCTGCTCACAGCGACACCGTCTCCTGTTGTCTTCTGCCATAACGACTGCCAGGAAGGTGAGCACCGCTGCCCGCGTGCGTGTGTGCGTGGGCCCGCGTGTGTGAGAGCTTGTGTGCATGTGTGAACCTGTGTGTGTGTGAGCCCATGTACGTGTGAGAGCCCGTGTGCATGTGGGAACCTGTGTGCATGAGAGCCCGTGTGTGTGTGAACCCGCGTGCGTGTGTGAACCCGTGTGTGTGTGAGTCCGTGTGCATGTGTGAACCCGTGTGTGTGTGAGCCCATGTACGTGTGAGAGCCCGTGTGCATGTGTGAACCTGCGTGCCTGTGGGAACCTGTGTGCATGAGAGCCCATGTGTGTGTGGGAGCCCACGTGTATGTGTGAACCCGTGTGCATGTGGGATCCTGTGTGTGTGAGCCCGCGTGTGTGTGAACACGCGTGCATGTGGGAACCGGTGTGCATGAGTCCCGTGTGTGTGCGGGAGTTCGCATGCGTGTGTGAGCCCGCGTGTATGTGTGTACCCGCGTTTACGTGGGAGCCTGTGTGCGTGAGAGCCCGTGTGTGTGGGAGCTGCATGCGTGTGGGAGCCGCGCTGGCAGGCTTGGGCAGGGGGCGCCCCGGGCCCAGAGTGAGGCCTGCCGCCCCCTCGCCGCAGGTAACATCCTGCTGCTGGAGGGCAGAGAGGAGGCCCCGAGGCAGAAGCTGATGCTCATCGACTTCGAGTACAGCAGCTACAACTACAGGTGACACGACCTGCCGTCCCCGGGGCTGCCCTGGCACCGACACCCAGGGAGGCCGGGGGCCCGCGGGGGGGGGGGCTCTGCTCGGGGCCCCCCTGACCCCCTCTCGGCCTCTGTCCTCTGCCAGGGGGTTCGACATCGGGAACCATTTCTGCGAGTGGATGTACGACTACAGCTGCGAGAAGTTCCCGTTCTTCAGAGCCAGCCCGCACCGGTACCCCAGCAGGGAGCAGCAGGTGGGCGCGGGTGCGGGCGCGGGCCTGTGTGTGTCCCAGACGAGCCATCTCCTTCCAGCTCTTTCCAGAATGGAAAAGCAGCCTGCGCTGGGCCTTCCGCTCCTGTTCCGGGCCCTTACACCCTCTTAACTGCAGGTTCCGTGCCGTGCCAAGTTCCCACGCTGGTAGCTGTTGGGATGCTGGTTTTATTCCCCATCCCGAGTTGAGGGGACCCAGTGCCCCTGTGGAGAATTGTTCCGGGGCGTTGTCTCCTGGGAACCCCCTTCCATCCCTCGGCCCCCCCCGGCAGCCTGAGGAGTGAGGGGACAGGGGGCATGACGTGCAGGGAGGGACGGGCCAGCGCCGGCTGCTCTGCTTGCCCAGGGGCGCGTCTGCAGTGGCCTTGGCCTCTGTGGAGGTAAAACCGTCCTGGGGTTGCTGAGATCGTCCCCAGTCTGAGGGCGGGGCTGTTGGCTGCGTGCCAGAGACCCGGGTTTGATCCTTGGCACCCCATGCTGCCCCCTGAAGTGCCTCTGTTGATTTTAGTTTCACATCTGTCTCTGTCCATGTATGTGAGTGGCCTTTTGGGTTCACTTCAGCTGTTGTGGTGCTCAGCTATGCAGTGCTCACAGGCCTCAGGCTTTTGTATGTGCTCTGACACGTGAGCCACATCCCCGGCCCCTTGGACGTTCATTAGAAAAATTATTACTGAGAACCAGAGCAGTGGGACAGCGGGCACTGGCCGTGAGTCCAGTCCAGTGCTGTCTCCCGAGCACCGGCAGGAGCGATGCCTGAGTGCAGAGCCAGGAGTAACCCCTGAGCATCGCCGGTGTGTCCCCAAAACAAAACCAGCTTTAAAAAAATTAAGCAATCTATTTGCAAAAGAAGATGCCAAGAATAAAACTTGAAGACTATTTGTAGGGGGCAGAGAGAGAGAACAGCAGGTAGGGCTCTTGCAAGCAGCCAGCCCGTGTTTGATCCCCAGCGTCCCACATAGTCCCTTGAGCACTGCCAGGAGTAATCTCTGAGCATCAAAGAATAAATAACCCCCAAAAAACCTGGAAAAAATGCAAACTGTGATTCATGATCAGCTTTTGCCGCCAGAGCGCGTCAGCTGGCCCGTGGAAGGTTGGGGTTCTCCTGTTCTCTCCCAGGGCAGACCGGTGCACCCCCCAAACAACACACAAACCCTCTGGGCTTAGACACAGCTCCTGGAGAGCCAGTTGCTCTGTCCGCGGTCTGGGGTATCTCCCTGTCTGGGGGTCTCTCTCTGTCCAGGATCTCTCTGTCTGTGCTCTGTCCGGGGTCTGTCTCTCTCTTTGCACTCTGGGTGTCTCTCTCTCTGTTCTGAGAATCTGTCCCCTCTTTCTGTTTTGTCCCAGTGTCTCCCTCTGCCCTGTCTGGGGTTCCCTCTCCTCATCCCAGTGCAGGTGTGGCGGCCCCTAGCAGGGTCAGTGGTGGTCCAATAGCGTGGCCACCGGGTCTGAGTGCAGCCCTGAGATGGCCAGTGGTCCCCATGTCGGCTTCCGTTTCCTCGTCGGCAGGGAGGGTTCTGTCATCGTTCACGCAGAGATAAACAGTCAGAATGTGCCCATGAGGTTGTAGCGAACAGCCTGGGGTCCCCCCTGGGCCTGGTCCAAGGCCGGTGGCGGCCCCTCTGGACCGTGCTGAGACTGTGCCTGAACCTGGAAGTTTCCTCTGTGGTGGGGTGTGGGGGGCGGCGCTGGCATTGGACGGGGGGCCGAGGGGGCCGCCTGCAGGGAGGAGGCAGGGCTTGGGCGGATCCTGTGTCCAGCGTGTTACGTTCGTTGATTCCAAGGGGGTGCGGGTCCCCGGGGTCAGCGTTGCTTCTCTGTAGGGAATTAAGTGAACGAAGCCCCTTCGGAAGGAGCCCGCAGCCCCGCCCGGCTTCAGAGGCTCCTCAGAACCCGCGGCGGCTTCCTCCGCTGCCCCGAAGCGAGCCCAGGACCCAGCGCCCAGGTCTGTCCCCGGCCGGACACGCCCCCAGGGTCCGTCTCTGCTTCTTTTTGTTTGTTTTGGGTCACACCCGGCGATGCTCAGGGGTCCCTCCTGGCTCTGCACTCGGGGATCACTCCTGGCGGTGCTCGGGGGCCCGGTGGGGTGCCGGGAGCCACACTGGGTTGCCGGGCAAGTGCCGTCCACTCTGCGTGTTGCTCCAGCCCCAGCGTTTGTTTCTGCCCGTCTGCTGGGAAGTCTGACATGTTGCTTTTTTTTTTTTTAAGCTCCATTTTATTTCCAGTTACTTGACGACATTCCACGAGGAGTTTGCAAACCTCAGCGATGAAGAAAAGTCCCGCATGGAGGAGGACATGCTGGTGGAAGTCAACAGGTACCGACCCCTCCGCGTGCTACAGGGCTGGGTGTGTGTGGAGCCCTTGGGTGCCTGGACAGTGCAGGCCCCGAGACACGCGCCTGGCATGCGGCTGCTTTGCTGCGATCACAGTTGGGGTTCCAGCACCTCAGAGGGTCCCCAGAGCACCCCCAGGGGTCCTTCCTGAGGCCTGACCCAGAAACCAAAGAAATCAAACAGAGAGCGTCCGAGCTTCTCCGTGTGGCTCAGGGCCTTCCGGTTCTGCCACGGTCCTCTCCCGCTGCCAGAGCCCCACGCTGTCCAGCCCGCGACCCACCCGCTCTCGCCGTCTCACGCACCCACGTCTGCTTGCAGGTTTGCCCTGGCGTCGCATTTCTTCTGGGGACTCTGGTCCATCGTGCAGGCCAAGATCTCATCCATCGAGTTTGGGTACATGGTATGTGCGGGTGACTCTTCCCTTGCCCCGGGCGCCTGTTGGCGTCTGCCTTTCAGAGCCCCGACCCCCGACAGGCTGCACGGGGGGCGACTCCCCTGCATCCAGACAGGCGCTGGCTCCAGGATGTCTCGGGACCTTTGACCCGGGGACCCCATGTGCATGCCGCGGGCAGGAGTCCGTGCCCAGTGCCCTGTCCCAGCCCCAGATGATGAGTCTCGGGAGTGCTGGAGCCCGCCTTCAGCGACCGGGCGGGACAGGGTCCACTTCTGGCCAGAGGGCAGCAGCGCACAGATGCACTCAGGCGGAAGGGGGCCCAGAGGGTTAGAGCAGAGCAGGGTTGTGACCCCTGAGGCCTTCAGAGAGGAGATTGCCTGTGATGCTGAGGGCGCCCTTTCCTGATGGAAGTCGCCCCTTCGTCCAGAGACGAAAGCTCCTGCTTCAGCGATAATGCAGGCCCACAGAGATGGCCTGGTGGGCTGGAGTGCGGGGGTTCTGGGTTCGATTCTAGCACCACATGGTCCCGACTGTGCCTCCCCACCCCAACCCCCAAGATGAGTAGCTGACAATTAGGGAGCAAGGCAGACGGTGGCCCCGGGCTCAGCACAGCTTGTGAGGGAAAGTGCAGGGGCCATGCCGGGGTGTCCACACGACTGACCTCCATGCTGGCACAGGGCACGGGCTTGGCACAGACCAGCTGGAGACTCAGGATGGAGGCTGGGCAGATGGACAGAGAGAGCCCGTTCCTGCGCGTGTGGGGGCCCCGGGGGTGGTCCCCAGCTCTGTGGGGCCCCCTGAGCACTGCCAGAACGCAGATGGTAGGATTGAAATAGAATGTTTCCACCAGAGTGGGTTTTAACTGGAAATCAGTTACCAAAAGATCTAGGATATTTCTAAATAAATCTTGGATTAAAGAAGAAAGGAGGGGGCTGGAGAGATAGCACAGCAGGTAGGTCATTTGCCTTGCATGCGGCCAACCCGGGTTCGATTCCCAGCATCCCATATGGTCCCCTGAGCACTGCTAGGAGTAACTCCTGAGTGCAGAGCCAGGAGTAACCCCTGAGCATTGCCGGGTGTGACCCAAAAAGCAAAAAAAAAAAAAGACAGTCACTTTTTTAAAAGTCTAGTTTACCATTAACTCTTTTTGGTTATGGCCGGAGAAACAGCACGGGGCTAAGACTCCTGCCTTGACCGTGGTTGACCCGGGTTCGGTCCCCGGCGCTTTGAGTGGCCCCAGTCCCCACCAGGAGTGATCCCTGCATGCAGAACCAGGCGGAACCCTGAGCACCCTCAGGTGTGACCCCAAAACAAAAATGAGCTAGAAAGAGGGTCTGGGAAGACCGTGTAGGGGGCAGGCACGGGGCCGTTCGGTCCCTTGAAGTGTGTCTATGTCCCCCGAGCATGGTCAGGCGGCCCCAGGATAAGGAAATCAGCAGTTAAAAGAGGTGTGGGGCTGGAGCGATAGCACAGGGGGTAGGGTGTTTGCCTTGCACGCAGCCAACCCGGGTTCGATTCCCAGCTTCCCATAGGGTCCCCCGAGCATCGCCAGGAGTAACCCCTAAACATTGCTGGGTGTGACCCAAAAAGAAAAAAAAAGGTGTCTAGAAAAATGAGGGGAGCAGGGTTTGCATTCGGGAGGCGAGGTTCAGTTCCTGGCACCGCATACGGTCCCGAGTGCTGCTGGGTGTAGCCCAAAACCCTGAAAATGTTTTTCAAAAGGAACTAGAAAGAGAAGCCTGTCACCAAAACGAGTTTAAAATGAGCTGGGGAGACAGCTAAGAGGCCAGGGGCCCGGCTGACCCCTGCCCTACATGTCCCCTAAGCGTTGCCGGGGCAACCCCGAACGCTGGGTCAGGAGCAGGCCCCCCACCAGCGCATGGGGCCCCTGAGGAATTAACAGAGAAGACCAGATGCTCCTCCCACTTGCCCCCAGGTCAGAGGGACCCCAAGATACAGGGCAGGAAGGAGTGCTTCCACTGGACGGGGTCATGGGGAAGTGCTGGATGCAGGAAGGCTGTCTCCTGCCTCCGGGTGACACAGGCCTCAAGGTCAGTCTGTAAAGGCCAGTAGTGGGAGGGGCAGGCACACCCTACCCTGCTGTCACTGTGTGTGCCCAGCATGATCCTGGCAGCCTGGCTGTCTGTGCCCCCTACACGCTGTGAGCACTTGTGTCTGAGCTCCTGGGCTGAAGGGTCCCAGGGACAAGAATAGTCCCTGGGGGGTCAAAGCCATAGTACAGTGGGGAGGACGCTTGCCTTGCATATGGTTGACCCGGGTTCAATCCCCAGCATCCCTATGGCCCCCCAAGCACTGCCAGGAATAATTCCTGAGTGCAGAGCCAGGAGTCACCCCTGAGCACTGCTGGGTGTGACCCAAAACAAATCAGAAAACGTCCTTCCTCCGCACACTGATCTCGGGCCTCTTCCCCCAGCCAACGTCCCGGCCGCGCTGTCTCCGCACTGACAGCCTGGAACGGTGCCCACAGCTGAGAGGTCTCCCTCACAGAGCGATCCTGGCTGTGGGGACCATGACAGTTCTTGGGTTGCATCAAGCACTTGCCTCGAGGGCCGGACCAGGGCTTGGCAGAGCTCTTGCACCCCGAGTCCCTGAGTTTGACCCCAGGCAGCACAGACAAGGAGAAAACCCTCATTCGACTTCAACCCTTAGAACTCTTGCTCTCAGAAAATAAAAAGGCAAGACACAGACTGGGAAAATAGTGACCAGGACATGCATTTGGAGTATAAAAGGATGGGCTGAGTGATAGTACAGCAGGTAGGGCGTTTGCGATTCCCAACATCCCGTATGGTCCCCTGAGCACCGCCAGGAGTGACCCCCCCAAAAAGAAATAAGGAACTCAGAGGCCAGAAGGCAGATAAAATATAAGTGCCCGGAGTCCAGCAGATGGCCAGAGAGCGTCTTCCCATCTGCCCTGTGGAGCCAGCAGGGCGCAGGCATGCATACCTTCCTTCACTGCTGTGCCAGTCGGTGGCAGTGGTATGGGGGGGCTGTGGTGGCCACGGCCTGGGCAGTGACCCGGAATGGGCGCGGACAGCGAGGCCCGGGAGGTGAGGGGCTCCAGACCTGCATCTCCCGTAGCAGTGTCTGCACCGAGCACTGTAGGCAGAGCAGGTACCAGGTGGACAGCAGGCGGCCCAGGGACTCCTTGCTCCCCTCACAGTGCCCCCGAGTCTGGAGACTGTGGGGAACCCCAGGATTTGGCGGCCGCCCTGAGCCTTCATTGTGAAGGAGGGGCCAGCGGCCATGCTGAGCTGTCCCTGTGTCTCCTAGGACTACGCCCAGGCCCGCTTTGACGCCTATTTCGAGCAGAAGAGGAAGCTGGGAGTGTGACCTGCAGGAACCCCACACCTCAGCCCTGGGCCGCGTGGGCGCGCCCCGCCCGCGCCTCCTCGTGCGCCCATGCCCGGCCTGCGGGCAGCACGGAGGCCGGATGTCTGACTACTGAGCACAGACGTGTCTGAGACGGAGGACTGTATTAAAGTCGAGTCACATTTCTGCCCTATCTCCTGTAAGATTCCGCTAGGACCCGGGCCCGCCTGCATCGGGAAGCAGAAGTATAGGAACTAGTGCAATAGCTCCCGCCGGCCGCCTGCAGGGGGCGCTGTGAGCAGCCCTCGCCGCTGGCACCTCCTAGCGACCCACCCCCACCCCCCCACCCCCGTGGGCACGACGCTCCCCTGGCTCTGGGCGGGCAGGGCGCCAGATGCCCGACGGACATGCGGTTGCCACCCGCTCTGGCCGGCCCAGCCCCTCCGCCCCCACCTCTGCTCAGCCTGGAGCTGGGGGGCCCCAGCCGCCGTGGGGGACGCGGCCGCCGGCAGCACACCTGAGACCGCGAGTGCCCGGCGACGCGGTTTCTCACTCTGAACTCCGACTCCCCGCGTCACATTTCTGCGGCTGGACTGTACGCTACAGACAATAAAGAGCTGCGACCACCTAACCGTGCCCCACTGTGGATGTGTGCGAGCTCGGGGTGCCGTGGGCCCAGCCCCCGCGGGGTTCCTGCTCTGGGCCCGCTCCCCACACGGGGAGACTGCAAGGCTGTGCAGGAGTCTGCATGGTGGGGGGAGTTGAGGGGATCCCGCGTGTCAAAAATGGCCACGGGGGCCGAGACAGGGGGAAGGCAGCTGCCTTGCGGTGCGTGGCCGACCCCGCTTCCACCCCAGGCATCCCATATGGGCCCCCCTCGGCACTGCCGTGTGTGTCCCTACCTTGCCCCCCAGCAAAAGCCTCTGGGGCCCTGCTGCCCTGGGTCGGCCCCCTTGGCCTTCCCAGGTGCTTTCTGGCTGTGGCTGATAATCTGGGCCCACCCCCTGCCCTGCCGTTTGGGTTTCCCCGCATCCTGACCCTGGCACTAGACTGGCGCTCCCGTGCTGGTGCCTAGGTGCGGCCGTGTCCACCACCACGGCTCTGGGCATCACCTGTCCCCAGCTCCACCCTGCAGCTCACCACAGACGCGGTGGACACTGCTCAGAGCCCGGCCAGGTGGAGCCATGGAGGCCCCTCTTGGAAGTTGGGCCACATGGCCGTGACCATGGGCCCCGCGTGGACTGCCCGGCTGTGGGGCCTCAAAGCTCTGTGCCCGGGGGCTCTGGCAGGGACAGGATGGGGCAGCTCCCTGCTGGGCGCTGTCCCTGCAGAGCAGAGAACAGGGACACCAACCCTGGGGCCCAGCTGTCTGCCTTCTCTGCAAGATGGCAGAGTGAGGTGGGGGGTCTGGTGTGACCCCAGTGCCCTGTGCGCGGGGGGGAGGCGCATGGGGGGCGCTGGGTGTCCAGGAAGGCGAAGCCTGAGGCCACGTGGCACAGACGCCTCCTCCTTCCAGCCAGCCTGACACCCCCCGCGAACGGAGAGTCCCTCAGACCCTCCCTGCCCCTCAGCTCGGCGCCAGCCGGGCTTCCAGAGGGCATCCGGCGGAGCGGCCAGGGAGTGTGGCTGGGTGGGAGCAGCGACACCCCCAGACAGGACCAGGACGCCGTTCCCATTCGCCCCTTTATTCCGCCCCATCGCGGGCGAGGTCCGGGGGCGCTAGTCATCGTCGTCCAAGGCGAAGGTGAAGGGGGTGAGCTTGTAGCCGGTGCCCGAGTAGAACTTGTTCTGGAACTCCACCCTAGGGGGGCACAGGGGGACATGAGGCTGGACAGTCCTGGGGTCCCCCGCCCGCCCGGCCGCCCGGCCACTCACCAGTGCAGGCGCAGCGCGTGCAGGAAGGCCGAGAGCCCCTCCATCACCAGCAGGATGGCCACCGTGAGCACCGCGAAGGCGCCGAACACGGGCACCAGTGCGATGGCCCTCACGCCCATCTCCCGGCACAGGCCCAGGCCCACGCGCATCACCATGGCCCACAGCACCTCCGACAGCTCTGCAGGCAAGGGGGGCACTGGCACCAGGCACACAGGGGGGGCACCTTCCTGGGGGGCCGGCGAGGCCAGCACCACTCCTCCCCCGCCCACTAAACAGGATGGTGGGGCCCAGGACAGCTGGTCACTCACGGGCATGGGCCAGGCTCAGGGCCCAGAGGCGCAGGTAGGAGGCCGTGTTGGACACGCAGCCGAGGCAGAACTCGATGGTGTGGATGGCCTGGTGCATGAACACCTCGGACGCCACGAACTGTGGGCACGGGGGCAGTGAGGAGCCAGCGGAATGGGCCAGCGGGCTCGGGGCGGGCGGAAGCGAGGGGACAGTGGGCTCGGGATGGGCAAAGGAGGGGGTAGGGGACCCCGGCTGCCCCGCCAGAAGGCACCGCAACTACCTCATCGTCCTGGTCCCCCGGGCACCCGGCCAGCTCCTCGTCACAGCTTGACGTATCCAGGAGCCCCTGTTTGTCGTCCTGGGGGTGTGGGGACATTAGCCGTGGTGTTTGCCCATGGCCACCTCCCGAGACACCTGCTCCCCGACTCCCCCTCCCCACGCCCTCCCGGAGCTCACCGGCTGTCCTCCAGCGGGCCTTGCCCTTGAGCGCCGGTGCCGGTGGTACAGGAAGAGCGGCGTGCCGAGCAGCAGGATGGGCACCATGGCCAGGGCCAGGACCACCAGCGTGGACTGCACCGCGGACTGCAGGGGAGGGGACACCCACCGGTCAGGGACCTGCTCGAGGCCGCACCCAGCTCGAGCGGCGGACCCCGAGTGCGTGACCACAGCCCACTCCCGCCCACCTGGCCCCGGAAGAGCGCCCGGTTGCTGGCGCTGCTGCTGAAGAGGAACATGTTGATGAAGTGGATGAGGATGCTGGGGGCCCCCGCGGCGTCCGCCGGCCCCACGCTCAGCCACTTGTAGCCGACGAGGAAGACGAGGTAGCCGAAGAGCCCGAGCAGGAACACCAGCTCGGGCACCGTCTCCAGCAGCAGCCGGTGGCGCTGCCCGAAGTGCCTGGTGGGGAGGGCTGGTCAGTGGGTCAGCTGCCCCCTGCCTGTCCTCGGTCCCGCCCTCTCCTAGGCCCGCCCCTCCCAAGCCCACACCTCTGCCCACTGCCCCCTTCCCCAGCTCCGGCCCCGCCCCCCACAGCCCCGCCCCTGGCCCTGCCCCCGCCTCCTCGCCTCCCTCTTGGCCCCGCCCCTCCTCGGCCCACCCCCGCCAAGCCCACACACCTAACCCACCGCCTGCCCCTCCCTGGCTCCAGCCCTGCCCTTCACCACATGCCCCACCCTGTGCTCTGGCCACACCCATGCCCTAGGCCCTGCCCGCCCGCTCCAGCCCCACCCTCCACCACATGCCCCGCCCCACGCTCTGGCCACGCCCTATGCCCACCACCACATGCCCCGCCCCACGCTCTGGCCACGCCCTATGCGCACCACGCCCTCCACCACATGCCCCGCCCCACGCTCTGGCCACACCCATGCCTTCTGCCCCGCCCTCCACCACACACCTCACCCCAGGCTCTGGCCACGCCTTATACCCTGGCCCCGCCCTTCATCACATGCCCCGCCCCGCGCTCTGACCACACCCACGCCCTCCGCCCTAGGCTCCGCCCCTGCCCTGCACCCCCTTTCTCACACGTGGTTGAAGACACCCAGGACCACCCCGAAGGCCATGTGGGTCACCCCCAGAATGACGGACATCTTCATCTTGAAGGAGTTGAGGAAGCTCAGGCGGTTGACAGCCAGGCTCCAGATCTGGGGGGAGGGCACAGCCGTCAGTGGGCAGAAGGAAGTGGGGGGCTCCCTGACCACACCCCACACCTGCCGGAGCACCTCGCCCTTCAGCTGGGACTCACAGGGTCGATGCCGAACGGGTAGGGCCCCAAGAAGACGCCGGTGATGTTGGGGTCCAGTCTGAGCACTGGGTTCTGGGCTAGGAACGTGTCACTGAGGCAGAGGGGGGGTGCACAGCGGTCAGGGGCAAGGAGTAGGGGGGGTGGGGAGAGGTGCCCAGCGGACAGGGACAAGGGGCTGCGGAAGAGGTGCCCAACGGTCAGGGGCAAGGGGCAGGGTGCACAGTGGTCAGGGGGCGGGATGCCCAACAGTCAGGGGCAGGGGGCAGGGAGCCCAGCAGTCGGGGGTTGGGGGGGTGGGCACCCACTCACCTCCACCCGGACTGGTTGGCCATGGCCGCCACGCTCCAGCCCGAGGGGAAGATGGCGGTGGCGCGGCTGAAGCACTCGTTGTAGATGAAGCCGGTGTAGACGGAGAAGAGCCCCATGAGGAGGAGCAGGTAGCGGCCCCCGAAGAAGGTCCTCCAGATCTGGGGTGGGAGGCCGTGAGCCCTGGCCGTGCCCGCAGCCCGCCCGCACCCCCGGGCTGGCCCCTACCTCGTTCTGCGCCTTCTTCACGGCCGGCCGGTCCTCCGCCAGCACCATGCCCAGGGCGAAGAGCGACATGAGCAGCCCGTGGCCCACGTCCCCGAACATGACGGCAAAGAGGAAGGGGAAGGTGATGATGGTGTAGGGAGCTGCGGGGACAGGCGCCCGTGTCAGTCAGAGCCGGGGAGCGCCACCCACAGGGAGGCCAGGCTGCCACAGAGGAGCCAACATGCTGCGTGACCTCGTGACCTCGGGCTGGTGACCCAACCTCTCTGAGCCCCACCTCCTTAATCGCAACAGACGGGTCAGCTGTGGGTCTGTCTCTACACGGCCCTTCAAGTCATCAGTGCCCCCATCCCTGTAGAAATGCAGAACTGGCACTATTCTTTTGGGGGCTCCCAAAAGGAACTTTCCCATGCACCTACCCACTGTAGGGGCTTCACAGGGGAATTGGGGAAACGAGGTCATGAGTGTGGGATACCAAGGCTCAGACGGGGTGGGGGGGACTCATAGGAATGCAAGACCCCCACAGGGAGCACTGGGTGGGTCCACCTGGGCTTGGCCAGCAGCTGTGCCAGTTGGCACTGCAGGCAGGAGCAAGAGGGCACCTTCACTGCTCCCCTCCCCCTGCACACAGAGCCCTGCTCCCCTCCTCCTCACACACAACCCTGAACTCCCTCCCCCTGCACAGAGCCCTGCTCCCCTCCTCCTCACACACAACCCTGAACTCCCTCCCCCTGCACACAGAGCCCTGCTCCCTTCCCCCCTGCACACAGAGCCCTGTTCCCCTCCTCCTGCAGACTCAGCCCTGCTCCCCTCCCCCTGCACACACAGCCCTGCTCGCCTCCCCTTTGTACACACAGCCCTGTTCTCTTCCCCCCTGCACACACAGCCCTGCTCCCCTCCTCCTCACACACAACCCTGCACTCCCTCCCCCTGCACACAGAGCCCTGCTCCCCTCCCCCTGCACACACAGCCCTGCTTGCCTCCCCTTTGCACACACAGCCCTGTTCCCTTCCCCCCTGCACACACAGCCCTGCACTCCCTTCCTTCCTTACCACCTCACTGCTCCCCACCCCATGTGGTCCCTCACTGGTTTCTCGCTGGGGCCCCTCAACAGACCACCTGTAGCAGTAGCCCCTGACCCTGACCCGAGGCTGAACACCAGCAGGCTGACACTGGCCCTGGGACCCCTGAGAGTCAAAAGAGAAAATTGAGGCTCAGAGCAGCTCAGAATCTTGTCAAGGGGGGTCGCGCTCAGACCCAGGCGGGCCCCTGGACACAGGAATGCTGGCGTCCTCTCGAGCACCAGGGTCTCTGGGGAGCCACAGCCTGGAGGGAGGGGGCACCTGTGACACTCACCCGGGTTGACCTCCTGGTACCGGCCCACGCCGTAGGCGTCCACAATGCCCTGGAAGCCGGCTGTGAAGCGGTTGGTCCGGATGAGCGTGGGGGGCATGTCCCGGCAGGGGAGGCGATGGGCCAGGGCGCTCACACCCTCCTCGCTCTGCAGGGACCAAGTGGGTGCTGGTGAGGGGCCCCAGGCCAGCCTGAGGGGCCCGGCTGCTCCACCCCACCCACATCGCGGACCCGGGAAAGGGCAGCCCGGAGCTGGGAAATGAGGCGCCGCCAGTCGCCCGCCTCAGTCACCCCATCGCTGCCCAGCGTGGCACGTGCCCACCTTCCGCAGCTCCTGGGGGGCCCGGATGGGAGCCCCGACTCACCGAGCTGTCCCGCAGCGCCCCCTGCAGGACGTGCAGGTCCCGCGCGGCGCACCAGCCCTCGGCGATGAGGCACTTGTGCGTGGCGCTCACGCTGCACTGGTTGAGGACCAGGTACACGGCCTTCATCTTGCGCACCTGCGTCTGCCAGGGCGGCAGCAGCTGCTGCACGCGGCCCAGCACCTGGCTCAGGAAGCGCTCCGTCTCGCCCAGCACCTGCGGCCAGAGCGGCGCTCAGCGAGCGTGGGGGGCCCGCGGCCCGGGGCTGGGGGCTCCATCTCCCCACCCCCAGCCCGGGCGTGGGGCCCACCTCCTGCAGCTCCTGGCTCTGCTGCTGCAGCTGCTGCAGACCGCGGCGGCGGGCGTCCTCCTGCTCGGCGAACGGGAACACGTGGCAGTGGAAGCTGGCGGAGAGGGGCGGGTTAGCATGGGCACGGGGCGCAGAGTGGGCAGGTTAGCGTGGACACCGGGGCAGAGAGGGGAACGGGTTAGCGTGGGAGGAGAGGGGGATGGGTTAGCACGGGCATGGGGCGCAGAGCGGGTGGCGTGGGCACGGGATGGGGAGGGGCATGGGTTAGCATGGGCATGGGGCGGAAAGGGGGGACGGGTTAGCGTGGGAGGAGAGGGGGCACGGGTTAGCGTGGGCACGGGGCGGAGAGGGGGGACGGGTTTAGCGTGGGCACCGGGGCAGGGAGGGGGAACAGGTTAGCATGGGCACCTGGGAGAGTACGGGGACAGGTTGGCACAGGCCCCAGGGAGAGAGCAGGGAGAGGGGTTGAGGTGGACACCAGGATGGAGAGCAGGAACAGGAGCTGGCGTGGCCCCCGGGGCGGAGTGCGGGGACGGGGTTGGCATGGGCACCAGGGTGGAGAGTGGCCGCGGCCCTGGCACTCACCAGGCTGTGATCTTGCGAATCTTCTGTCCGATCTGCTCGCCCCAGTAGGAGATGAGGAAGGTCATCCAGGTCGTCTGCTCGCCCTGCGGAACCGGGGCTTCAGAAGGGAGCCCCCCCCCACGTCCCGCCCCCGCGGCCAGGCCCCGCCCACAGGCCCGCCCTGGCCCCGCCCCCGAGCCCCGGCCCCGCCCACAGGCCCGCCCCCGAGCCCCGGCCCCGCCCACAGGCCTGCCCCGCCCACCGTCACGGGGTCCTCCAGTGGCCGCTCGGTTTCCCTGAAGCTGGCGATGAGGAAGCCGCGACAGGCCCTCCAGAGCAGGCGCTCCAGGGCGGCCGCCTTGTGGGGCTCCACGGCACCTGCCACGAAACTGCCAGGCCACGTCAGGCTGGGGGGGCGGCTGCCAGGGCCCCAGCTCACCCCCTCGCCCGCCCGAGGAGGGATAGGCAGCCTCCGGGGGAACCGCAGAGGACAGGGGGACGGACTGTCAAGGAGGGCGAGCACTGGCCAAGGAGTCCACCTCCCCGCGGTCAGGGCTGACCGTGACACCGCCCATCACCTACTTGACCCTGAGGTCCTGGTGTGGCCCCCCGGGGGTTTGGAGCAGCGGCATGGTCTCTAAGGTCGCGTCCACGTGGGTGGCGGCCAACTGCACGGAGGAAGCGCGTGAGCCCAGAGCGGGCCTGGCTGCACCGGCCACCCCCTCCCACCCCGGCCCGGGGGCTGCTGCTGACCGTGGGGCCGTGGCCTTGGCCCAGCACCTCCGCATGCAACTGCAGCTGGTGCAGCTGGGCGCGCAGCGTCTGCTGGTTGCCCCGCACGTCCCGGAGCTCCTGGGCCAGGCGGTCAGTGTCCTCCTGGATTCGCAGCAGGTCCCGCGGCGGGGGTGCGGGCAGCCCGGCCGTGGGTGGGGCCAGCGGCAGCCCCGCCCGCCGCACCTCCTCCTGCAGGAAGGCTGGGAACAGGGGAGGGCAACTGTGAGCCGAGAAGGGACCTCACGTCGGAGGGACCCCAAAACCCACCCCAGGGCCGGGGCAACAGTACAGCAGGGAGGGCGCTCGCCTCCTATGCGGCCAGCCCGATTCAATCCCGACACCTGAAATGGTCCCCTGAGCCTGCCAGGAGGAACCCCTGTGTGCAGAGCCAGGAGTAATTCCTGCGTGCCACCGGGTGTGCCACCAGAAAATTCCCCAAAAATCCACTGGCCACCAGCTAATACTGACTGACACCCACAAAATCCCAGGCCCCATATGTCCCTGCACAGGCACCCCTTCTTCCACGGGCCGGGCCCCAGCAGGGACGGAGCCCTAGTACCCCCATGTCCTTAGGGCCCCTCAAGCACCAGGTGTGTCGGGAAAGGCCGTCCTGAGGCCCGAGAAGGGAGTCCTCTCAGCTCGGTTTGGGGAGCTGCTCCTTGGGCACCCCAAATCCCCATCCCAACTCTGGCCCCACACACCCAGCATGTCTGCGGCAGAGAAAGCTCTGATCCTGCCTCTCCCCTGCAAACAGCCCCCCTGGCGTGGCCCCTGGACAGCCACAGGGCTCAGACTTTTCCAAGGTGGCCTGGCTGCTCTGCTCAGATCACCCCAGGTGTATTCCGAGAACATCCCCCAGACTACGGCTGGCCTGGCCTGACGCTTCCCGCCAAGCCTTGACCTTCATGCTTGGCCTTCCGCCTCAGTGACCCAGACTCTTCAGTCCAAGCTCGGAGGCACCTTCTCCAGGAAGGCTGCCTGGGATGGGGATTTGGGGCCAACTCACTGAAGGTCTTCTCCAGTTCCTCGCAGCGCCGGACATCCCCCACAAAGCGTCTCTGGAAGGCACTCACGGAGGCATTAAGCTGGCGCGGACACACACACATCAGGCGCCAAGGAGTGGCCTGGGGCCCAGGCCTGACCCCCCCAACAGGAGCCACCCAGACCCCACGCGTGTCGGGAAGGGCCTTCCCCAGGGCACTCACATCCCGGAACTCCACGAGGCCCAGCTCGCCCAGCTGGCTCACGCAGGTGTAGGCTGAGGCCGTGGGCAGGAAGAGCTGCACCAGTGCCACTTCCTCACTCCGGAACATGGAGCCCATGGTCCTGCGGGGCACACGGAGCTGACTCAGACACTGACCTGCCTACCACCCTCGACAGGTGGGGAAACTGAGGCCCACAAAATCTCAGCAGTGCAGACTGAGCCCAGGATGCAAGGGAAAGTCCTGCGAAGGGACCGAGGGACACTGGCCCTGCTCTGACCTGCTGTGTCTACTTGTGGGAAGCTGGCCCTTTAACTGACCAAGGCCTAAGTGCCTGTGCTAGGTATGGTCATCTTGACCTACGACCCCGAGGCAGGCACAGCCTGTGCTATGTATGGTCATCTTGACCTACGTGACCCCGCAACAGGCAAAGCCAGTGCTATGTATGGTTATCTTGATGTATGTTATCCTGAGAGAACATCTGTCATGGCTGTCAGTAATAACAAGAAGTAACTATCTCGTGTCTGGTACGTGATGCATGTAAATTTTATAAATCATATGGACATGGCCATTTGTGTATCTACCTCATGTCTGATAAATCATATGGACATGGCCCTTTGTGTAACTACCTCGTGTCTGGTACAAGATACGCATAAACTTTATGCGTGAGATGTGAAAACAAACCTTCCTAACCATATATGGGCACGACCTTTTGTGTAGCTGCCTCACTAATGGATATATACCCTGATTGCCCCCAATAAAGTCTGTCCCTTTTTCTCTCTGTTTCTGAACTGCATTCTGTCTCTTGTGTCTCGTGTTCACTCGGTCGGTCCTGCAGCCCCTTCCTTCCTCTGCCATCAGGCCTGCGTGGTCTCTGCCAGGGACGGAGTCTACGGATCCTAGGGCCACCTCCGCGGGCCGGAGAGTGGTTTTGCGAGCCTCCCGCATCTACTCGTCTGGGGGCCCAGACCAAGGGTCCCCCCACCCCCCACCAAGGCCTCCTGACTGCTGCAGCTCTTGCTGGCAGAGGGGAGCCCCGGCCTCTCACTCCAAGGGTCACTGACACCCAGGGCCAGACTTGTCCCAACGGGTAGGTGGCTCCCTCCTCCCCAGCTCTCAGGATGGATGTGGGGAGCCTTCAGGGGTTCCCCTGGAGCTCAGTGAGGGCAGAGCTGCCTGGTCGTGCGGTGGGCAAGGCGCGAGCACTGTGGGCGGAGCGAGAACGCTGTAGGCAGGGCATGGAGGGGGACCCGGCGCTGTGGGAGGAGCGAAGGGCGCGGGGGGCGTGTCGGGGCCCTGTGGGCGGGGCGGGACGCGGAGAGCGGAGCGAGAACGCTGAAGGCAGGGCGCGGTGGGCGTGTCTAGAGCGCGTGGGCGGGGCGAGACCGCCGTAGGCAGGGCGCGGTGGGCGTGTCTAGAGCGCGTGGGCGGGGCGAGAACGCTGAAGGCAGGGCGCGGTGGGCGTGTCCAGAGCGCATGGGCGGGGCGAGACCGCCGTAGGCAGGGCGCGGTGGGCGTGTCTAGAGCGCGTGGGCGGGGCGAGACCGCCGTAGGCAGGGCGCGGTGGGCGTGTCTAGAGCGCGTGGGCGGGGCGAGAACGCTGAAGGCAGGGCGAGGTGGGCGTGTCCAGAGCGCGTGGGCGGGGCGAGACCGCCGTAGGCAGGGCGAGGTGGGCGTGTCTGGGGCGCGGTGGGCGGGGCAGGCGCCAACCCGTAAGTGGGGCGGGAGCATCCCTCGCGGTGGGGAAACTGGAAAGTGAAACTGCAGCGGGCGGGAAGGGCTGGCTGGCCTCCCTCCAAGGTGTGGCGGGACGGCGGCTCGGCGGCCCCGCAGAAGTCCGTAATCTGGGGCTCCGCTCTCGTTCTCGGGGACCCAGGACCAGCCTCTCGGCCTCCGTGCCGCAGTTTCCTGAGCCCGCAGGCTGGGGTGTGTCGGGGCCGGCTGGGAGCACAGGCGCCGAAGCCCCGCCCACCGCCTGGGACTGGCCTGCGGTCACTTCCTCGCGGGGCTGCCCCGGGGCCTGCTTTACCCGAAACAAAAATACGGAAGCGGAGCCCTTCCCTGACCCGTCCCGGAGACAAAGGCCAGGCGGGCGGCAGCAGGCCCGGACGGCGGGGCTGTGACCTGGGGACAGCTCACCCCCTGGGGCCCCCCACTTCTTCGGGTGGATGGGGCTTAGCCACCCCAGCCAAAGACCGGATCTGGGGGTGAACAGGAGAACGAAACCCCTCCCCACGCTCCTTCCTGGACCCCAGGAGCAACGCTGGGGACGGCGCGGCAGCGTGTGTTCCCGAGGGACCTGGAAGAGGGCAGGCCCGGTCACGTGGCGTGCAGTGGCCAGGACCAAGCCACAGCGGAGCCGGGCGCAGCTCACGCCTGGGCAGGGCTGTTCTCTCTGTCCGGGGACCCTGAAAGGATGGGCTGGCCAAGGCGGGAGGGGTGGGAGCCTTGGAAACTCCAGCCCGGCGGGGAACAGGGTCCTGGCTCCCAGGGCACCCTCCGCGGAGGAGGGCAGGGTGAGAGAGCCCCTCCAGGCGCGGCCCCTCTCTCCTGCCCTCGGGCGCACGGACCAGATAACTGGGCCTCCAACCTGTGGCCTGCGGGACACTGCAGCCCCTTCCTTCCTCTGCCATCAGGCCTGCGTGGTCTCTGCCAGGGACGGAGTCTAAAGCCCCCAGCTCCTGGGCCCAGCGGCGCTCCTCAGACCCTGGCCCGCAACCGTGAGCTGAACTGGTGGCGGGGGTCGGCTGCCCACCCCCATCATTCCGGACTGGTGGGCTTCTGGGGAAACAACCCACTGCCTCTCGCTCTGCGTGCAGAAGCTGGTGAGTGGGACCTCAGTTTTCCCACCAGGAGAATGGGTCGCTCCTTCCGCGGCTCCAGCAGAGAACTCTCTGCGTGCCCGCTGCCCGGGCGAAACGAGGCTCACTCAGCGGCGATGAGCAGCGGGCTCCTTCCTCCCCCCTCGCCCGGGAAGGCGCTGCGACCCACCCGACTGAGCGGCCTCCACTGGCACAGCAGGGTGGGGGCGCCCGCACCCGCTTGCCGGGCCCGCAGGAAGCACGGGTGATAGCGGTGACACTCACCCCGGGGCGGCTTGCGCGCCGCGTTGCTCAGCGCCGAGTTCCGGGCTCTGCGGTCCGAGCCCGGCGCCAGCGCAACTCACTCCCCGCGGGGGCGGGGCTGTCCCGGGGAGCCCCGCCCCGCCTCTAGGCCCCGCCCCCAGACTCCGCCAGCCTGGGACTGGCGCTGTCCCGGGAAGCCCCGCCCCTCAACCAGGCCCCGCCCCCAGGCTCCGCCAGCCTGGGACCGGAGCCGTCCCGGGAAGCCCCGCCCCTCAGCCAGGCCCCGCCCCCAGGCTCCGCCAGCCTGGGACCAGAGCCGTCCCGGGAAGCCCCGCCCCTCAGCCAGGCCCCGCCCCCAGGCTCCGCCAGCCTGGGACTGGAGCTGTCCTGGAAAGCCCCGCCCCGCCCCGCCCCGCCGCACCGGCCGGCTTAGCCCGCCTGGTGCACAGGGTCTGGCCAGCCCAGCGCCAAGGCTAGAATGGGGAGGTGTTAGGGGGGTCAGGGTCCACGTAGACGGAGATGCTGGGTATCTCTCCTGCATTTCTCCCCTCTCCCGGGTAGGGGCAGACGAGTGGCGGGAACTCACTGGGATCCAGCATGTTCCTCTGCCCTCTCCTTCAGGGCACGGCCAGCCACAAGTGCCCTGACACCTCACCACCAAACATGATTGCCACTCAATGCCTCTTTTGCAAACCACAATACCCAAAAGGAGAGAGAGAACAAAAGGGAATGCCCTGCCACAGAGGCGGGGTGGGATGGGGGGTTGGGGTGTGGGAGGGATACTGGGACCTGTGGTGGTGGAAAATGGGCACTGGTGGAAGGATGGGTACTTGATCATTGTATAATTGAAACCCAAGCACAAAAATTTGTAAGTCTACAACTGTACCTCATGGTGTTTCACTATTTAAAAAAAAAAAAAAGCGTGCAGGAACGAACCGTCATTGGGGTCCAAAGTGAGAAGGTCCCTGTTTGGGGAGCAGAACCAGGTGGCATGGGGTGGAGGGGTTGCTTCCAGCAGGAGAGAGCTGCAGTCTGACAGCTGTGGACAGCTGCCAGATAAACTTCCACTGGCCATCATGGGAGCCATTTCTGCAAAGGTTCTGCCTCCTGTGGCCACCAAAACCAGCTGAATAGGGACCCACAATGCTCCATCATTTCCAACTCTTGGAGATCAGCAGGCCTGGCCCGAGAAGCTGCGGCAGCGGGGCTCCCTTGCTGGAGTTCTCCAGAGCCTTGAAAGCAGGGCCACAGCAGAAGAGGAGGCACCTGGGCCCTTCCCAGCCCTGAGGGTCCCGGACCCCTCCCTGAGGAGCATTCTGAAACTGAAGGGCTCACAGGAGCATTTGCGGGGCCCAGATTACAGGGGTGTCCTTTCAGGAGCTCCCGTGTCTGAAGTTACGTGCCATGCTGGAGTGGGGGGGTCCCAAGGGAACCAGCCACCCAACCTCCCAAACCTAGAACCGTGAGGAAGAATCGGGAGCATGTGCTGGAGCAGGGAGGGCGTTTGCCCTGCATGTCACCAACCGAATTCGATCCCCATATGCTCCTGCGAGCTCACCAGGAGTGATCCCTGAGTGCAGAGCCAGGAGTAACCCCTGAGCACTACTAACCCCTCCCAGCCCCCCAAAAAAGTTCCAAGCAGAGGAAGCAAGTCAGCCAGAGGGTCTGGGGAACTTGGAGAAAGGGAAGTGGCTGGGGTGAGGCTGGCTCAGGGGCAGCAGGCTATGTGTCACCCCTCGTGACAGTCAGCCTCGGCAGCTTCCTCAGCTGGTCTGTTTCGGCCAGGGGCTCGGGGATCCCCGGGCGCAAAGGGTCTCACTGTGGGTGACCGAGGGCCAGGTCAGGCCAACAACGGCCCTGAGGTCGCCTCCTGCTGCTGCTCCTGGGAATGTGGCCAGGACAGTGTGTGGGCAGAGACCCCACGTCCCCAGGTGTGACCTGGCAGTGGACACTGGTACTGGCTCTGCCAAGGGGTCGGCCCCAGAGGCGGCTGTGTGGACGGCGGCTTCAGTCAAGACAGGAGCCGAGCGGGGGTGAGAAGTTTATTGGGCAGGACGTCACCGGCACAGGCGGTCAGCAGGATGTCGGCAGCCATCTCCGCCTTCCAGGGGAGAGAGGTTCACTGGGCAGCCACGTCACTGCTACAGACGGTCTTCCGATCGATGGTGACGACCTCCGCCGCCCGGGGGTGAGAGGTTTACCGGGGGGCCGTTACTGGTACAGCAGTCGGCCAGATGCCGGTGGCTGCGTCACCGGTACAGGCGGTCCGCCGGACTCCGGGGGCCACATCACCGGTACAGGTAGTCGGCCTGGATGTTGGCGGCGATCTCGGCCTCCCACTTGTCCCCGTTGTTAAGCAGCTTTTCCTTGTTGTACAGCAGCTCCTCGTGCGTCTCCGTGGAGAACTCGAAGTTGGGGCCCTGCAGGTGGGGAGGCCGTCAGGGGGGTCCCGGGAGCCCGCCGCCACCCCCCACAATCGCCCGGGCCTGGCCGCACCTCCACAATAGCGTCCACGGGGCAGGCCTCCTGGCAGAAGCCGCAGTAGATGCACTTGGTCATGTCGATGTCGTAGCGCGTGGTGCGGCGGCTGCCGTCGGCCCGCGGCTCCGCCTCGATGGTGATGGCCTGTGGACGGGCACCGGGTTACAGCCGCGGCCGGCCCAGCCTCCCTCCCACCCCCTCGAGGCGGCCGCCCCCATTCTCCCTGTGCTGTGTCCCTGGGGCGGGGGCTAGGACATCAGCACAACAGGCACGTGGAGTCACCCCCATTCCCCAGGCTCAAAGAGGCTGAAGGGATCCCCAAGACACTGAACGGAGACAGCACAGAGCTGGAGAGTTCAGGGCAGTTCTGGGGGGCGGGGTGGAGGGGCGCAAAGACGGCCCCTCCCAGTGCCACTAGACTGATAACTCATCTCCCGGCTTCAGCTCTGTCATCTGTGCTGGGCACTGATCCCCTCGGCCTAACCCTGAGCGGGCACAGAACCCGTTTCCGCAGGGCCAGCTTCCCAGGAAGCCCCCACCTGGGTTACTCGTGGGCTCCAGTGGGTGCAGGCGCCAATCAGGCTGCAGCCGGAGCGTGGGGCAGAGCAGCCCACAGGAGGTCGCCGTGGGCCCAGCCCCGAGCTGGGGGGGTCCTCGGGGTGTCCACTCACCTGGGCCGGGCAGATGGCCTCGCACAGCTTGCAGGCGATGCAGCGCTCCTCGCCCGACGGGTAACGGCGCAGCGCGTGCTCCCCGCGGAAGCGCGGGCTCAGCGGGCCCTTCTCGAAGGGGTAGTTGATGGTGGCCGGCTCCCGGAACAGGTAGCTCAGGGTCATGCCCAGGCCTGGGGGTGGCAGGGAGAGGCTGGCTAAGGGCTCCCCGCCTTCCGCCCCCGTGTCCCCGGGGCAGCCCACCCCAGGCCCGTGCCCACCTCGGGCGAGCTCAGTCCACAGCAGAGTCTGGGCAGCGCGGTCAGTCACGGCCTTCATGTCCATGACAGGTTCTTGCACGTTCACATACTCTGCAGGGAGAGAGAAGGGCGTGGCGGGGACTGGGCCAGTCACTCTGTCGGCCGGGTCCCCTGGAACGCTGACCCCAGAATCACAAGGAACCCTGGTCTTCGCCCTCATCTCAGACAGGGAAGAGAGGGCAGTGAGGGGAGCCCGCCGCCCCCCCACGCCCCCCAGAACTCACTGTAGGTGGCAACCACAGTGCTGCCATGGAGGCTCCGGCTGCCGGGAGGCCCTGCAGGGAGAGGTCCAATGAGCAGCATGACCCGATGTCGCAGGAAAGCCCCGGCCCCTCACACCCCTTCCTACCTGCGCGGGCCGCCTGGGCCAGGGCCCGGAGCAGCGCGGGTGAGTTCAGGCAGCGCATCTGCAGGCAGGAACAGGGAGGTGGAGGGTGATGCGACCCCCAGAAATTCACTCTAAAGGCGTCCCTGCGTCACCCACCCTCGTCCCAGGGGCAGCTCTCCTGCCCCCCCAACCCCCACCCCACTAACCCGGCCGTGCCGGTGGAGATCCAGAAAGTTCTGTGTCTCCAACGAAAGCAGCCAAGGCACTAACCCCCTTCTGCGTCCCAAATCAGACCCCTGACCCTGTGCCAGGGCTCACTCCCCCGTCACTGTCCCCACGACCCGAAACTGCTTCTGCACTGGCAGAAGTCACAGCTCAGTCGGGGGAAGGGGCTTGCCCAAGTCACAGCTGGAGGGTGTGGGGGGCGGCAAATCCTTGGAAGGCTTAACGAGCCCCTGGTTCAGGGTCCGCTCCCAGCACCGCGTCCTTCTGGGAGCCCGGGCAGGTGAGGTCACCTGACCGTTTTCTCACCCCTGAGATGGGGGTCCTTGACAGTGGGGATCGGGCAGCAGGTCCAGAGCCCGGCCCTTGGCGGGGGCTCAACTATACCCTCCCAGCCTGTGACCTGCGACCTCTGGCCGGCCCATCGCCGCCTGCCCACCGCGTCCACGCCGGGCACCTTCCCCGTGACCTCTGACCCGGGCTGCGCATGCGCCCTGAGACTGCGGCGCCCTGCGCGCCCGCTGCACGCTCAAGGGCACGGAGGCCGCGGGCCGGGGCGTGCTCGGAGCGGGCCCGGCGCAGGCCTGGGGGGGACACTCGCCCGCAGCGGTCTCCTGCGGCCCCGGTTCGGCCTCAGCAGTGCAGGTCGGGGCACCCACCTTGAGGCGCAGCCGCTCCTTCCCGTGCCGAGCGACCTGTGCGCCGGGGGGCGGGGCCTACACCTGGGCTCTCTGCCATTGGGCCGGCTGGCTGGGCCTTTTCCGCCCTGACTCTCCATGCGGTATTCTGATTGGTCCGTGAGGCCGCCGCGTCGATTCTGATTGGCTACCACAGAGTCGCCCTTGCGCTGCGTTGGGCGCCGCCATGTTAGATCGGAGAAGCCAATGAGCGAGGAGTCGCGAGCCACGGGGGGGCGGGACTTCCGGGGGCGTAGGACGCGCTTCTGGGTCCAGCCGGCGACCTGGGTCAGCGGGGACCAGCTCCCGGGGCGTCTGCCTGCTGGCAGATTCCCGACCTGTGCCCGCGCTGTACTGGAAGTTTGGGGTTTGTTTTTGGGTCTCAGACGCTTACTCTTGGCTCTGCACGCAGAGACCACCCCTGGCGGTGCTCGGGGGACCCTCTGGGGAGCGGGGATCGAGCCCGGGTCTGCAGGTGTCCGTCTCTCCGGCCCCGTGCCCAGCCGTTATCCAAGCGGCAGCACCGAGGCGAGGGAGGATTCTTCTTCCTCTGCAGATGGGGAAGCAAGCACGGGCTTGTTGAGTGCATTTGCCCAGGCCCGGGGCTGCGAAGGCTGAACCCTTTCCTGCGGGCTCGCTTTGACCCCGGAGCTCGCCTTCCTCGACGGCCCCCGGGCCTGTGTTTTCTCCCGATCAATTGTACGGCAGAAGAACCCTGCGGCTGTGTGTTAAGAGTGGAGTGTGTTTGGGGGCCCATCGGGTGAGCAGGGACGGCGTCCTGGAGGAGATGATGGCCCGAAGGGCGGAGTCCCTCCCCGAGTTGTGTGTGGCTTGTCTGTTAAGGACCCTGGGCCCTGGGAAGCGCCCGTCCGGGTGCAGGAGGGAGGCCGGGCACCCAAAGAGACAATGACATTCTCCCTTCCGTGACCGCGGGGGAAAGGGAGGTGCCCACGGGCCAGTTCTGGGTGGTGGACGACATTCTCCAATCAGATCCCTGGGGGTCCGCAGGTCGCCCAGCACCAGCCATGGGGAGTGGGGACAAGCCTGTGCTCCGCTCCGGGGCAGAGTCGCTGCCCGACCTGGACAGGGCAGGGGCAGTGTCTGACCCCAGTCCCCTTGGAGAGAGAAGCTGCGGGGGCCGGAGCGATAACACAGCGGGTAGGGCGTTTGCATTGCACGCAGCTGACCCGGGTTCGATTCCCAGCCTCCCATATGATCCCCTGAGCACCGCCAGGAGTGATTCCTGAGTGCATGAGCCAGGAGTATGCCCTGAGCATTGCCAGGTGTGACCCAAAAAGCAAAATTAAAAAGAGAGAAGCCAGAGTTGGGCAGCAGCTGTCTTTATTAACCCCCAGACGACCCTCCCAGGGTCTCGTGTGCGGTAGGGGAGCCGGCGGCACCCCCGGGCTCAGAGCAGGGTGCAGCTGCAGCTGGGGGTCTCCATGGCCATGAGCAGCAGCCTCAGGCGCCCGCGAGAGTAGGGTGGGTAGCGGAGCCCGTAGATCGGCTCCAGCCCCGGCGGGCGCAGCAGGCAGGCGCGGTGGTGCGAGAAGGTGTCGAAGGAAAACTTGCCGTGATAGTTGCCCAGGCCGCTGGCCCCTGGAGGGGAGCCGGGCCCTGAGATGCTGCGGCTAACGGCCGTCACCCCAAAACTGTTGGGATGGTGGGAGAGGGGCGCAGAAAGACCCGAGCAGGGACAGAGAGAAAGGGGGTGGTGGCAGTGAAGGGTGGGGATTCCCCAGCGAGGCTCTCTGGGGAGCTGAATCTCCTGCAGGCAACATGGGCACCCACCAGAGTGTCGGGGTCCAGGCAAGTGTTCACCCAGGAAACGGTATGGGGGGAGTCGGGGGCCTCGCAACCCTCAGGGAAGTCCCGGGGACCTAGTTGGAGTGGCAACCCAGGAGGGCTTCCTGGAGTGGGCGAGGCCAGAGATATGGAGTTGACAAGGGGGGGCAGTGGGTGAGAGCGATTCATCCTCACCAGTGGGTGAGGACAATTAATTCAGAGAACATGTGTGTATGCGTACATGTGTGTGTGCCCGTGTGTATCCATGCATGTGCCCATGCGTGTGTGTGTGTGTGTGTGTGTGTGTGTGTGTGTGTGTCCTGAGCCAGGTCAGGAGCTGGGCAGAGCCCAGTGCCAATGGCGGGGGGCAGGGTAGGTCTGAGGCCAGGCCAGGAGGCTCCAGGGCCTGGTTCCAGCCTTTCTTACCCACTGTTCCCTAGTCCCTCCCCAAGACTTCTGGGAAGGGGGGGGGCAGTAAGGAGAGGAGGAGGGAGTCTGGGGTGGTCACTCACAGCCCATGTGCCCAAGGGCCTGCTCCCCACAGCTGTGGGGTCGCAGAGTGGACGCTGCCCCCAAGGAACCCCAGGGCAGGTCTTTCCCTGGTGGGGGTTGGGGGGTGTCCACACCCACATGCCCGACACAGCAGGTGCCTTGACAGCAGGATGTGGCCGCTGTGAGAATCGGAACCCCCCCACCCCGATCGAGCAGGGTGCCCACAGGGGGCAGGACCTACCCACGCCCCCGAAGGGCAGGCTGGACAGGGTCATGTGCATGAAGCCGTCATTGCCGCAGAAGCCGCCGCTGCTGGTGGCCGCCAGGACTCGCCGCACCACCTGGGGGCAGAAGGAGGTGAGGGACAGGCAGCCCCGCTGCCCCCCCCCAGGGACATGGGGAGCAGGAGGTGAAGTGGCAGGTCGTCAGGGAGGTGCCCTGGGGAGGCAGAGGTGCGGCAGCGTCTCCCCTCCCGGGAGGGGCAGAGAAAGGCAGGGGGGCCCAGGCAGGTGAGGGGCGTGAGGTTCTGCCCGCCCCTGGCCCGGGGTGGACTTGTGCTGGCCCTCCACGAGGGGGGCATGGGCCGATGTCCCTGCTCTGCGGGATGCCAGCCCCCCTGTACCTAGCTCAGCACCGCTGAGGGCGGGTCCCTCGGGGCCAGGCGCACTGGGCGGGGAGGGGCCCCCTGCGTGCAGCCTGCTGGCGTGTGCTGAAGGCCCTGGGGCCACGGACGAGCTCTGCAGCAACGGGACACAGAAGGTTCCAGAACCAAAGGCTCCCCCCAGGCGGGGAGGTGGGCTACGCTTGGGGACTTGCCCCCAGAGAGCAGAGGGATTGGTCACTCCTCCACAGGGCCTGGGGCAGACACAGGCTTGGCCAAGGGGTGCCCCTGGCCACCAGGGCCGTGGGCATGTGGGTGCCGCAGTGTAATGGGCGTGGTGGCCGGGCCGTGGGTGAGAGAAACTACTGAGATGGGACAGTCCCCTCGAGGCGAGCAGGGTGCACATTTTCAGAGCCCCTCTGCCCCCTAGGACCCCCACTTATTTTCCGATGGGAATCGTGTTGGGCTCGGGGCAGCCTTGATCATGCAAGGCTGTGGACACCAGCCCCGGCCCTGCAGCGTGAGTCTAGTTTCTTCTACCGGCGCTGTCCGTGGGTGGAAGTGGACACGCTGGTGGGATCGGTGTGGGGGGGTCGAGTGCCTGAAACTCAACTATGGGTAGTTTTGCCAGTCTCGGTGCCTTCATAAAACATTTCCCAGCCGAGAAATAAATAAAAGTTCTGGGGCCGGAGCGATAGTACAGCAGGGAGGGAGTTTGCCTTGCACGCAGTCAACCCGGGCTCAATCCCTGGCAAACCGTACAGTCCCCTAAGCACCACCAGGAGTGAGTCCTGAGTGCTGAGTCAGGAGTAAGCCCTGAGCATCTCCGGGTGTGGTGCCAAACCCCCCCAAAAAAATTGCCATCAAGGGCTGGAGCAATAATAGAGCGGATTATTGCTCATGGTCGACCTGGGTTCGATTCCCAGCCTCCCATTTGGTCCCCGAGCACCGCCAGGAGTAATTCCTGAGTGCAGAACCAGGAGTAACCCCTATGCATCACCAGGTGTGACCCAAAAAGAAAAAAAAATTGCTGTCAATGCCCAGAAAGATAGCACAGTGGTTAGGGTGCTTGCCTTGCTTGCCTTGCATGCGGCTGACCTGAGTTCAATCCTTGGCCCCTCTGTGGTTCCCCAAGCCCACCAGGAGGGATCCCTGAGCGCAGAACCAGGAGTAAGACCTGCGCACTGCTGGGTGTGAACTCAAAAGCAAAGCAAAGCAAAGTGCTGTGGGACCCTGGCGGCAGTGGGGAGAGGGATGTCCTGATGGGCCAGGTGCTACCCACGTGCTCTCAGGCAGACCCCGGGACTTGAGCAGGGCAGGAGGTACTGGGGACTGACCCTTGGACCCGCGGTGCCGGTCATATCCTGTGTTATCCCAGAGGAACCCAGGGAATGAGCCCCTTGCCCCCGACAAAGGACAGGGGCGGAAGCGGGAGGGTCACTGTCCAGGAATGCGGAGCCCAGCCCAGCTTCTGTCCCTGGTCTCCGCTGCCCCTCCCCGCCGGCCCACCTGGCGGTTGCTGGAGAAGGCATACAGGGCCAGGGGCTTCTCCCGCCTCTGCATGAACTCGATGGCCTCGCTCAGGCTGCCCACCGTCATGATGGGCAGGATGGGCCCGAAGATCTCCTCCTGCATCACCGGCTCCGTCTCCTGCACATCCACCAGCACCGTGGGGGCTGCGGGCAGGGGCAGATTAGTGGGGGGGGGGGGCAGTGGGGCACCCCCACATCCAGCCTCTGGGGCAGGGCACAGTGGAGTGCCCCAGAGCCCCAGAGAAGGGCCCTTGCGGGGGTCCCCAGGTGGCGGGGCCGCTGGCCGCTGGCTGGGAGGGCTGCACTCACCGATGTAGCGGTCTTGCTCGTCAGTCTGGCCGCCGATGGCCACACGGCCGCAGCCCAGCAGCCGCTGCAGCCGCTGGAAGTGCCTGTCGCTGATGATCCGGCCCAGGCAGGGGGACGCCTGTGGGTCGGCACCAAAGAAGCGCGTGATGGAGCACTGCAGGGCGGGCAGCAGACGTGTGCGCATCTCGGGGCTGCAGAGCACGTAGTCGGGCGCCACACACGTCTGGCCCGTGTTGAAGAAGCGGAAGAAGGCCACGCGGTTGGCCACGGTCTGGGGGTCGCAGTCGTCGTCCACGTAGCAGGGGTTCTTGCCCCCCAGCTCCAGCGTCACGGGGGTGAGGTGCTTGGCGGCCGCGCTCATGACCAGCCTGCCCACGTGCGGGCTCCCTGGTGGGGGAGGACAGCGCTGGCCCTGGGTCCCTGACTTCCGGGTGCCCCGGGCCGCCTGTAGCTTCAGGGGCTGCATCCCTAGCTAGTCACCTCTCCGGGGGCGGCTGAGTCGAGCAGGGTCACCCGTCCTGGCCTCCCTGGTCACTGTGCCAGGACTCTCACCCGGCCCCAGGACAGCCCAGGCCCTGGGTCTCTGCAGCCAGCCAGGGTGAGGAACCCGGTGCCACCCAGCTGCCCCCGCCCCGGCCCCCTGCTCTCTGTCCCAGAACCCCCTGTCCCCTCCCTCAGGGACACTGAGCCCGAGTGTCGCCTCAGCTGCACCCCACCCGGGGTTCTGTGTGGCTGCCTTGTGCTCACCTGGGCTCGGGGTTCATCTCCCGCCTCTCATACCCGCCCTCACTCACGCCCTCCCCCGTGCCCCACGAGCGCGGGACACTCCTCTCCGCATTCTGCTGCCTGACCAGTGAGTGGTGAGGGAGTGGGTGGGTGAGTGGGTGAGTGGGTGAATGGTTGGGTGAGTGGGTGGGGGAATGGATGAGTGGGTGAGTGAGTGAGTGAGTGAGTGAATGGGTGAGTGGGTGGGTGGGTGGGTGAGTGGGTGAATGGGTGGGGGGTGGGGGGTGGGGGGAGTGGAAGGGTGGGTGGGTGAGTGGGTGGATGGGTGGGTGGGTGGATGGATGGGTGGGTGGGTGGGTGAGTGGGTGAATGTGTGGGTGGGTGGGTGGGCGGGTGAGTGGGTGGATGGGTGGGTGGGTGGGTGGGCGGGTGAGTGGGTGGGTGGGTGGGTGGAAGGATGGATGGATGGGTGAGTGGGTGGATGGGTGGGTGAGTGGGTGGATGGGTGGGTGGGTGGGCAGGTGAGTGGGTGGATAGGTGGGTGGGTGGGTGGAAGGATGGATGGATGGGTGAGTGGGTGGATGGGTGGGTGAGTGGGTGGATGGGTGGGTGGGTGGGTGGAAGGATGGATGGATGGGTGAGTGGGTGAGTGGGTGGGTGGGTGGGTGGAAGGATGGGTGGGTGGGTGGAAAGATGGATGGGTGGGTGGGTGGGCGGATGAGTGGGTGGATGGATGGGTGAGTGGGTGGTTGAGTGGGTGGGTGGAAGGATGGGTGGGTGGGCGGGTGAGTGGGTGGATGGGTGGGTGAGTGGAAGGATGGATGGATGGGTGAGTGGGTGAATGGGTGGGTGAGTGGGTGGATGGGTGGGTGGGTGGGTGGGTGGGCAGGTGAGTGGGTGGATGGGTGGGTGGGTGGGTGGAAGGATGGATGGATGGGTGAGTGGGTGGATGGGTGGGTGAGTGGGTGGGTGGGTGGGTGAGTGGGTGGGTGGGTGGGCGGATGAGTGGGTGAGTGGGTGGGTGAGTGGGTGGGTGGAAGGATGGGTGGGTGGAAGGATGGGTGGGTGGAAGGATGGGTGGGTGGGCGGGTGAGTGGGTGGATGGGTGGGTGGGCAGGTGAGTGGGTGGATGGGTGGGTGGGTGGGTGGAAGGATGGATGGATGGGTGAGTGGGTGGATGGGTGGGTGAGTGGGTGGGTGGGTGGGCGGATGAGTGGGTGAGTGGGTGGGTGGAAGGATGGGTGGGTGGGCGGGTGAGTGGGTGGATGGGTGGGTGGGTGGGCAGGTGACTGAGTGGATGGATGGGTGGGTGGGTGGATGGGTGGGTGGATGAGTGGGTGAGTGGGTGGGTGAGTGGGTGGGTGGAAGGATGGGTGGGTGGGCGGGTGAGTGGGTGGATGGGTGGGTGGGCAGGTGAGTGGGTGGATGGGTGGATGGGTGGGTGGGTGGGTGGAAGGATGGATGGATGGGTGAGTGGGTGGATGGGTGGGTGAGTGGGTGGGTGGGTGGGCGGATGAGTGGGTGAGTGGGTGGGTGAGTGGGTGGGTGGAAGGATGGGTGGGTGGAAGGATGGGTGGGTGGGCGGGTGAGTGGGTGGATGGGTGGGTGGGTGGGCAGGTGACTGAGTGGATGGATGGGTGGGTGGGTGGATGGGTGGGTGAGTGGGTGGGTGGGTGGGCGGGTGAGTGGGTGGATGGGTGGGTGGGTGGGTGGAAGGATGGATGGATGGGTGAGTGGGTGGATGGGTGGGTGAGTGAGGCGATCCCCCTTCTCAGGCCCCCCTGCACCGTGCTTTGTCCCTGCTCTCCTGGAGCTGACAGGTTTCTGCGATTTGCACAGGCCCCCGGGCACTGCCCAGAAACCAGCCTCTGGGGATCTTCCCGGCCTCTACACCTTCGTCGGGGGGCTCTGGAGCACCCCCACCTGAAACCTACAGGAACAAAGAAGGCCCTTTGTGACTTTGTCCTGAGCATGGCCGACTGTGTCCATGTGCAGGGAAAAAGGTCATGGGCTAGTCTGGGTCCTGTGTAAGGTCACAGGGGAGCCTGGAGCATGTTAAGTCATGGCAGGATCAGGTCAGATGGAGGCGTGGGCTGTGGAGGCCGTGGAGGGTCCATAGGCTGTGAGATGGGGTGTCTCAGCCTCCGGTGCTCCCCAGAGCAGATGCTGTGATGGTGATGGGCGGTGGGGCCTGCCAGGATGGGCCCCCAGCTGTCTCCTGACCAGGCCCGCTGCCCGTGCTCTGCCATATCCCCCATGTGCCCAGGTCTCGTGTGGACCCCCACCTGCCGCGCCCCGTTCTCACCCGTGAAGAAGATGTAGTCGAACTTGTGCTCCAACAGCCGGGCTGTCTCCTCGGGGCCCCCCTGCGCCACGGCGAAGCAGCTCTGCGGGGCACGGAGGGTTCACGGTGACCCCCGCCCTGGGCCACCTGCCCGGGACGCCCCTCAGCGTCAGGTGGGGCAGGAGGGGGCGAGGGTGGGGCCCAGAATCTGGGAGGGGCGAGGCAGGGGTGGGTCAGCTTCGTCTTGGGCTGTCCTGGAGTCCAGGGTGCTGGGCTTGAGGCCAGGAGGGGACCCGGGTCTGGCTCCTGGGGGGCGCTGTGGTCACCTCTTCAGTTCGACTCTGAGGGACAGGCTGACGGGGCCACGGCCACACCGGGGCCCACTCACCGGGTCCAGGTAGCGGGGCAGCACCTCGACCAGGACCTTCTCAACGCTCTTGCTGATCTCCGACGGCTTCAGGACCACGCAATTGCCTGCAGGCGGAGGGGAGCTGGGGGTGCGCGCCCCGCCGGGCTTGGCCGCCGCCAGGGCCACGGCGCCCCCCTCCCTGGCCTCGTGGGTGGCCCCGCAGGAGGGGACAGGCAGGGGCGGCTCTCACCTGCGGCCAGCGCACCCACCAGGGGCACCATGGTGAGGTTGACCGGGTAGTTCCAGGGTGCAATGATGAGCACCAGGCCGTAGGGCTCCTTGCGGATGAAGGCCGAGTCCAGCTGCGTGGCCTGCAGGTCCCGGGAGTGAGTGGCTGCCCCTCCCCACCCCCCCCACTGTGCCCGCCCCCGGGTCCACCCGGCCCGGCCCCACGCACCAGGTTCTTGGGCACCTTCTCGTCCTTCATCCAGGCCCGCAGGTTCCTGAGCGCCAGCTTGATCTCATTCTGGCTGATTCGCACCTCAGACAACTCAGACTCGAAGTCCGACTGGAGTGTGGCCAGGGGAGGCACCAGGGAGCGGGTGAGCAGGTGGCCAGCCCTGGGGCCTGACAGACTCACGTACACTCACCGGCCAGACTCATTCGCTCACACACCGTTCATGCACATTCTCACACACCAGCTCACTCACCCGCATTTTCACACATTCACTCACAACCTCACACACACACCACACAAACTCATTCACTTACATTCTCAAACGCACACACACTCACACAGTCACTCACAGCCTCACACTCACGCACACACACAACACACAAACTCATTCACTTACATTCTCAAACACACACACTCACACACTCATTCACACACAGCCTCACACACACTAACACACAAAAACTCTTTCACTTACATTCTCAAACACACACACACTCACAGTCACAGCCTCACACACACTCACGCACACACACACAAACTCATTCATTTACATTCTCAAACACACACACACACTCACTCACAGCCTCACACACACTCAAGCACACACACACAAACTCATTCATTTACATTCTCAAACACACACACTCACACACTCATTCACACACAGCCTCACACACACTCACACACACAAACTCATTCATTTGCATTCTCAAACACACACACACTCACACAGTCATTCACAGCCTCACACACACTCACGCACACACACACAAACGCATTCACTTACATTCTCAAACGCACACACACTCACACAGTCACAGCCTCACACTCACGCACACACAACACACAAACTCATTCACTTACATTCTCAAACACACACACTCACACCCTCATTCACACACAGCCTCACACACACTCACACACACAAACTCTTTCACTTACATTCTCAAACACACACACACTCAGTCACAGCCTCACACACTCACGCACACACACAAACTCATTCATTTACATTCTCAAACACACACACAGTCACTCACAGCCTCACACTCACTCAAGCACACACACACAAACTTATTCATTTACATTCTCAAACACACACACACTCATTCACACACAGCCTCACACACACTCACACACACTCACACACACACAAACTCTTTCACTTACATTCTCAAACACACAAACACTCACAGTCACAGCCTCACACACACTCACGCACACACACACAAACGCATTCACTTACATTCTCAAACACACACACTCACTCACTCACAACCTTACACACATTCACTCACACACACTAATTCTTTCACACTCATTCTCATACACTCTCACACACTCAATGTCACCAACAAACTCATTCACTAACATTTACACTCATTCACACACCCACTGATGCACTCACCACACTCATCCACTAACACACTCATTCACTCACTGTCACTCGTTCGCCAAACACTCAGATTCTCCTTCACTCTCACACACACTCATTCATTCAGATACTCACACTCTCATTCACTCACACACTGATTCAGTCACAGTAACTCATTCGCACACACGCATCCACACAGTCGTCCACACACTCTCTCTCACATTCATTCCCTCGCACACGTGCTCCCATGCTCACTTCTGTGCTCGTCCAGTGCTCACACACACCCACTCAAGCCATACCCACTCTCACACACACTCACCCACTCCTCCCCCAGTTCACCCCTTTCGCACACTCACACTCACTCACTCACACTTACACGGGGCAGACGAGCACTGTGAGGTCCCCACCACTAGGCCCATTGTCTGCTCGACCCCGTGCCCGGGTGAACACTCCTGGCCAGGGTGTCGGCCTGTCCTTCCTGGGAACTGTGGCCCCACAGCGCATGCTCCCCAACTAGAGGGAACAGCGGGGACCGGGCAGTCCCGGGTGGGCTGAGCCCAAGCAGGGACAGTCTTCTAGTGGTAGCACTAAGGGTGGGCACTGGGGCCACAGGCCAAGCCAGGGGCCACCCCTGCCCGGAGTATAGGGCCCTGTGGGGGGCAGGGGCAGGAACGGACTGGCTGGGGGAGCCGCCGGGCCAAGGGGTTTCCACAGGGCGGCAGAGGATGTGGGACGGGCCAGGGCGACCTGCCCAGGGAGCCCGCGGGGGCATTCTGGCCCGTCACTCTGTTCAGGCCGGGGAGCCTGGCGGGAAGGAGGCGGAATCCGAGTGACGGGGCCACGGGGATGGGGAGTGGAGGGACAGGGAGGGCAGCACTGGCCAACCCAGGGTTGAGCACACGGGGACGGTCAAGGGTCAGTGCTATGTCCTCAGGGGACTCAGGCTGGCCCGGGTCACACTCCAGCCTTGAGCAGATATTTTCCAGGCCTGAAAGGGGCAAGGGGCTGGCGGGTGACCTCTGGGGGTCAGGGGCTACAGGTGACCTCGGGGAGTCAGGGGGCTGGCGGGTGACCTCGGGGAATCAGAGACTAGTGGGTGACCTTGGGCTGGTGGGTGACCTCGGGGAGTCGGGACTGGTGGGTATCTTCTGGCCCAGGACCAGTCGGACCCTACCTGGGTGCTGGAAAATCATCACAGACATCGCCCTGGAAGGTTCTAGAATGCAAGGGGCCAGAGGGCACTGGGGACAGAGGGGAAGTACCCAGGGCAGCCAGGGCGGGTGGGGGTGTCTGCTGCCTGAGGGGTGAGGGCTAGATAGGCCTTTGTGGGTTCCAGGGCATGACAGGGCAGGAGGCCCCTTGGCCACCCCCTGCACCCCCTCTTTTGTACATATCTGTCCTTTCACGACCACCCCATTCTCCCCCAGCCCTGCTCTCCACCCTCACTGGCTGCCCCAGGGCCTTGGCACAGCCTTTCACCCAGTCCTGGTTCCCCCTGCTCGGCCCCATGTGCCTGCCCCATGCCCGCTCCAGAGGCGTCCCTGCAGCCCCGTGGGAGAGCCAGACCCCTGTGTGCGGGACTACTGGGGGTGTGGGTGAGTGTGGGTGAGTGTGGATGAGTGTCGTTGGTGTGTGTGGGGGGTGCTGGGTGGTGCTGGGTGTGTGTGTTGTGCGTTTGTAGATGGTGGTCAATAGTGTGTGTGTGTGGTTGGTGGGTAGTGTGTGTACGTGTGTGTGTATGTGAGTGGGTGGTGGGGGCTGTGGGTGGGGGTGTAAGCAGGGTGCTAGGTGCTGGGTGCTGGGTGCTGGTGTAAGCAGGTGCTGGTGGTCCCCGCCCGGCCCACCTTGCGCAGGTCGTGGGTCAGCGCCTCCCGCAGCAGCTCCTGGTTCTCCCGCAGGAACCGCTCCAGGCCCCGCAGCTGCGCCTTCCGGAACTCGGCCGGCCGCGCCCGCCCCGAGCTGACCGTCTCCCGCAGCCGCCGCAGCGTGTCCGCCCAGGGCTCCATCCTGCACGGGGAGAGCGAGGTGGCCCCGGTCAGCTCCTCCCGCCCCCACCTGTGCCCCCAAGCACGCACACTCGGGCACCCTGGGCCATCCCGGGCAGGGGCAGTGCTGGGCCCAGGCCTGTTCGGGCTGCGGTCACCTGCTCCAGGGCATCCGTGAAGGGGGTCCCATGACTTCCTGCCTCCCAGGGCCCCCCCAGAAGGACTCTGGGAAGCCAGGGCACAGTCCGCCAGCCGCCAGGCCCCAGTGCCCTCATCCCCCGACTCTGGTCCCATTCTCGGAGCACTGGGAGCCGTGGGCAGTGGCCTCCTGTCCCCTGGCCCACCTACTGCTCACCCCACATGGGGAAGTGTCGGGTCCGGATTTCCTCCTTGGCAGGAGGGTGTGATGGTCCCCTGGGCCCCATCTGTTTACCCACAGCTCACGGGAGGAGCACACTGACGCAGTCACTCCTGGGCTCGGTGCCAAGGACCTGTGGGGACCCTGTCCTTCCCCTCTGGCTTTCCTCCCCTCTGGTCTCAGGTGGACAGATGCCTCCTCCGTCCAGGCAGCCCCCCTAGGCTACTCAGGTGTCTCCTGGCTCTCTGCCTCGCCCCCCCACCCCCGCCAGATCAGTGTGCCCTGTGATTCTGCCTGGTTGTGTCCCGTCCACCTCCCTGCCTACCCACCCCCCATCCCAACGCTGCTCCTCCCTCCCATAAGAGGACCCTCCACCTGCTTCACTCGGCAGTGGGCTCTTTGCACCCCCCTCTGCAGCGGTGAAGGGGGTTGACACTCCTCCCCCCCAGCACACACAGGATGTGCACCAGCTCTCTCCTGAGGCCGAACGCCCTGAAGGCTGGAAATTGTGCAGTGAACACAGGTTTTGCCTTTTCTGGAAGGTTCCATGACCCCGAGGTTTGGGTCCTGACAACCCACAGGATTTCAGGCCCGGGGGGAAACTGTGTCAGGAGCTTGGCTAGGTCCACAGGCTTATGATTCCGTGGGGGAACTGAGGCAGCACAGGACAGAGATGGGCATCCTGAAAGCCTCGGCCCCACCCCTGCCCAGTGCCACCCCCTCCGCCCCCTGCCCCTGGTCCCCCCCCGCGCCCCCTGGCCGCACCCCTGTCCAGTGCCCCCCTGCCCCCTGGTCCCCCCGTCCCTACCCCCTGGCCCCACCCCTGCCCCTTGGTCCCTCCACCCCCTGGCCGCCCCCCTGCCCAGTGCCACCCCCTGCCTCCTGGTTCCCCCCCTCCCACTCTGCTCCCTGGCCCACACCTGCCCCACCCCCCAGCCCCTGGTCCCACCCTGCTCCCTGGTTCCCCCCTGCCCCACCCCTGCCCCCTGGTCCCCCGACCCCTGGTCCCACCCTGCTCCCTTGCCCCAGCCCTGCCCCAGTGTCCTCCCCTGCCCTCTGGCCCCACCCCTGCCCCTTGGCTCATCTCAGCTTTCCTGTGGGTGACTGGGGCTGTGAGTGCAGTGGTTTCACCCGTGCCTGGTGGCCTTCGCATAGTGTGCTGGTCTGTTTGGTTTAGCACTTGGGGGTGCCCCGGGGGAGGACCTGCAGGGCCTGTGCAGGGCAGAGTGTCAGCCCCAAGCAGTGTGTCTGTACCTGGGTCCTTCCCCCAGGCCTCTACAAACATTGACTCTCCCCCTTCCCCCCCCCCTTTGCACCCCCAGACCCTGTGGGCAGTGCCCGCGGCCAGCCTCACCCACCATCGCTGCCTCCCGGGTTCTCAGCCCTTTCATACAGCCTCACCCACAAGCATGCGAGGCACGTAACCCCAACAGGGCTCCTCAGGCAAGTGGGGGCGTGGAGGGCCGGGGCGGGAAGGCACTTGGAGGAACATTCCTGCAGCTTCTCCCGGCAACGCCAGTGGCGACTCACCCAGCAGAGCCAGCGCGGCCCGGAGGCTGGTCACTGTGGGCGGAGAGCGTGGGCTGCCCTTGCGGGGCTGCAGAACGGGACATGCCCAGGAATGAAGACAGGCTGGGCCTGTGACCTCACAAGGGGCCTGAGGTCCCAGGAGGCAGCTCAGATGGGGGCTGATGCGGGGAAGGGGTCCCCACACCCACCTCCCACACTGCATCGGCGCATCCTGCCCGGGCTCGTGACCTGCTCGGAAGGGACCGGGGACCCGGGCCAGGGGAGTGAGGGGCTCCCCCACGGCCACGGAGCCGTCCACTGCGGGAGCTGGAATATCACGCATCTCACACACGTGTGCGTGCACACACACGATCACACACACGCACACAGGTGCACACACATGCACACGGGAGCACACACACATGCGGACACACCCCACGTGTGCACACACATGTGCACAGGGTGGACACATGTATGCACATGCAGGCACACACGCACATGGGTGCACACACACATGGACTCACACACGTGCACACGGGTGCGCACACACAGGCGCGCGCACACATGGGCACACACGCAGGGGCACATACACACACACACAGGCAAACACACATGAGCTCAGACAGACATACGCATGCGCACACACTCACACACACACACAAATACACACGCTCACACACACGAGAAGGGGCTCTGAGCTGTGCGGGCACGCATGAGGCAGAGGCAGGGACTATCCCACCTGCTTCCCCTTCCTGCCCCGGGGCAGAGCCCGTTGGAGAAGCCGTGCCCAGCTCCCGATGCCCTGGTCTCCTGCGGGAGCCCTTTCCCGAGCACAGGACCCCCCGAGCCCCCTCCGCACCCCTGCGGCACCTCGCAGGACCCCTTAAGCACAGCAGGCGGGACGGGCAGACCCACACAGGGCAGGAAGGGAAGTGCGTCCCCTCCCCCAGGCAGTGGACACCGTGGGCGCCCCCCTTGCTCCCTGCTCTGCCCAGCGTCCAGGGACAGCGTACCTGAAGCCCGCCAAGCCGCCCGCCTCAGCGTCCCAGCCACTGTCCACAGTTATGTAATGTCCACGGGGCCTGCCCCTGGGCGGGGCTCCTGGCCTGGGGCCCGACCTTGGCTCTGCGCCCAATTTCGCCTTCTCCTCCCCAAGGGCCCCAGAGCCTGTCTGAGGCCGCAGGGCTGCCGGGCCCAGAGAGGGTCAACCCGGGGCCAGGCCGCACAGCAGCGTGTGTCCACGTGGGGCCCAGCTCAGCAGGAGCAGGAGAAAGACCAGGGCGGTGACCCTGGGAGTCCCGGGGTGCGACCAGGCCGTCTGGAACAGCCAGAAAAGCCTGGCCGGGCCGAGCCCCCGTTCAACAAAGGAAAGGAAGAGGCTCCCAGGCGCTGTCCCGCCCACGGCCTCGTGTCCGGCTGGACAAGAGCCCTGTCTGCGGGGGCTGGGAACCACAGGACCTGCTCTCTGCCCGCCCCTGCCCCAGCTCGGGGGCAGAGTGCCATCCGGTCCCTCAGGTGATGACGGGTGTCCCCCGGGGTCCTGACCCCCCCCGCCCCCGCCCCCACCTCACACACCTGGTGACTGTCGCTGTGAGGGTGATTGGATTACAGCTGTGGGCGCTGTGCCCGCCCGCCGCACCGCTGCCTGCTCCGTGCCGGATGCCCGGGCGCCCCGGAGTGCCCCTGACCTCTCACTCCCCTCCTACCTGGGGGTTCCGGACCCACACCTGCTCCCCGGGGCCCCCTGCCGGCTGGGTGGCAGGCCCAGGGTTGACCAGGTCCCCAGCTAAGCGCGGGCTGGCACCCCCAGCGCTACCAGTCACGTGCCTTGGCATGTGACACCTGCTGTCTGGAGCCGTGCCAGGCCCTGACAGTGCGGATGAGGGCGGGGCAGGGCAGAGAGGCCCAGAGAGCGCTAGGCACTGGCCTCAGAGCACACAGCACAGCCCCACCCAGCCTGGGAAGTGCCGGCCCGGGGCAGAGGCATCGCAGGACACTGGGGGCACCTCCCTGAACTTTAGGGATCTGGAACGACCTGGAGGGGAGTCCCCCCCAAATAGCCCCTCTCCTGAGTGGGAGGAGCTGCCTCTTGGGGGACCAGGAGCCCCGTTTCTCCCCCTCTCCCTGCTGGAAGCTTCTGGCTGACTCTCAAGGCCGGAGGGGGGCGGGGCTGCAGGTCACAGTCACCATCCAGGCGGTGTCTGTGCAGGGACAGGCCAGCCCACCCCGCAGGTGTGACTGCAGAGGCCTTCGCCCCACTCCACTGAGCCTGACCCCTGGACTTTCACCTTTGGCCGCCTAGAGGCTGTGAGCTAACTGAGCGGAGGTCACCTGCGGGCACCGGTTCCTGGGGACAGTGCTCTGGGCTCTCTCGGGCCAGCACCGGGGCTCAATTCCTGCATCGGCGTCACCGGGTGTGGCACCAAAACCCAAAGCCAAAACTGTCATGTAAAGCCATAACAGAGCCCGCTGCTGCTCTGACGTCGGCTGGTGCCCGCGCCTCGGCTGCTGTCCTGGCCGCGGTGGCCCCGGCCTGCTCACGCCCTTGGGACTCATGACACTTTGCATTTTGGGGTCTTGCCCGGAGGGGTATTGCTGGGTCCTGTGACAGCTCCACCATTATTTTTGGGAGGTGGGCAACAGCAAGCGAGGCTCAGGATTTACTCCTGGCCCTGTGCTCAGGGCTCACTCCTGGGAGGGCTGAGGGGGCCCTACGGGGTCCCCAGAATCCAGCCGGGTGGGCAGCGTGCAAGGCCAGCGCCCTCCCCGCTGCCCTATAACTTCACCCATTCAGACTTTCGGGAGAAATCTCCGTGCCGCTGTCCACAGAGGCTGGACAGAGACATGGCCGTGTGAGCGAGGGCTTGTTCTGTTGGTGAATGTCCTCGCTCTTTGACGCCTGCGACGCTCACTGGGCGACACACTGGCTCATTGTAGTCTTCACCGGCCTTTCCCTGACCAGCGACAATACGTGCCTCTTCCCCGTGCAAACGGTCACTCTGACGGTCTGTCTCTTTCCCCCATTTTTTTTTTCATTTTGGGTCCTCCCGTTGCTCATCGATTTGTTCAGTAACGTCTCCATTGTGAGACTTATTACTGTGTTTGGCTTATCGAATACGTCACGGGGAGCTTGCCAGGCTCTGCCGTGCGGGCGAGATACTCTCTGTAGCTTGCCGGGCTCTCCGAGAGGGGCGGAGGAATCGAACCTGGCTCGGCCGGGCCAGCCACGCAGAAGGCAAACGCCCTCCCCGCTGTGCTATCGCTCCAGCCCCTTTCCCTTGTTTTTGGTGGGTTTATTACACTGAGGGTTGTTGTTGGTCTTGTCAATGCTTTCTGCATTTTGGATATTAGACTTTTACATGATGAACTGGGTGCAAATATCCTCTCCTGAACAGCGGGGAGGCATTTGCCTTGCAAGTGGCTGACCGGGACTCGATTCCAGGCATCAGATATGATGCGCCAAACACCACCAGAAGTGATTCATGAGGTGGTGTGACCTCAGAAAGACAAAACAGGGGTTGGAGAGATAGCACAGCGGGTAGGGCGTTTGCCTTGCATGCGGCCAACCTGGGTTCGATTTCTCAGCATCCCATATACCCCTGAGCACTGCCAGGAGTAATTCCTGAGTGCAGAGCCAGGATTAACCCCTGTGCATTGCCAGGTGTGACCCAAAAAGCAAAAAAAAAAAAAGTTTGTGGACTTCCCCTCCGAAATCCGACATGCCATTTCGTCGGTAAAGAAACAAACAGCACCCGGCCCAGACAAGGTCAGACCTGAACACCTGAAGAACCTGCCGTCAGTCCTCATCAATACACTGGCTCGGCTCTTCACTCGCTACCTGTCTGAATGCAAGGTTCCGTCCCAATGGAAAACCAGCAGGACCGTACTACTGTTCAAGAAGGGAGACATCCATGACATTGGCAACTATCGCCCGATCTGCCTATTGTCTGTCATCTACAAGTTGTTCACTCGAGTCATCCTAAATAGGATTGGCAGAACACTAGATGAAGGACAACCATGCGAGCAAGCAGGGTTCCGCAAAGGATTCAGCACCATCGACCATATCCACACGATAACCAAGCTCATTGAGGTTTCTCGGGAGTTCAAGATGCCGCTCTGTTTAACGTTCATTGATTTAAAGAAGGCCTTTGATTCTGTTGAGACGCAAGCGGTCATTGAAGCCCTAGCCAATCAGGGCATTCAAGCCCAATACATCAGGATCCTCCGTGAGCTGTATTGAGGATTCACTACCAGGATCTCACCATTCTACAAAGAAGGGATCGTTGATGTCAAGAGAGGGGTGCGGCAGGGTGATACCATTTCACCGAAACTCTTCAGTGCCACCCTCGAGAACATCATGCGACGACTGGAATGGGAAGGAATGGGAGTGAAGATAGATGGTCGGCAACTACACCACCTCCGCTTTGCTGATGATATTGTTTTAATAACACCAAACATCAGCCAAGCGGCACAAATGCTGGCCGACTTTGACCATGAGTGTGGAAAGGTAGGACTACAGCTGAATCTTACGAAGACAATGTTTATGAGAAACAGCCTTGTTCCTGACGCCCCATTCGCTCTCAACAGAACGACCATCTCCGAATGCAACAGCTATGTGTACCTAGGTCGAGAAGTCAACATGACAAATGACCTGGCACCCGAGCTGCGCAGGAGGAAGAGAGCGGCTTGGAACGCCTTCAAGAACGTCGAAGAAATAGCTAAGAGGACGAAGAACCTCCGGCTCCGGGCACATCTCTTTGATTCCACTGTTCTTCCTGCATTAACCTATGCCTCAGAGACCTGGGCCCTACGCAAACAAGATGAGAACGCCATTCAGGTCTCCCAAAGAAGAATAGAAAGAGCTATGCTTGGAATATCACGTTTCACTCAAATGAGAGAACGAATCCGGAGTTCTGACATCCGTCGACGATCAAGGATCAGGGACGCTGTCTCATTTGCCAAGGTGTCGAAAATCAGATGGGCTGGTCACGTAATGAGATTTAAAGACGACCGTTGGACTAGAGCTGTTACTGATTGGATTCCACGGGATGTCAAGAGACCGCGTGGCCGCCCACCTACCAGATGGTCAGACTTCTTCCTGAAGATCATGAACGATCGGTTTGAGGCCCTTCATGTTCCCGGAACGAACAGATGCCATTGGGCTACACTAGCACGCGACAGGGACAAATGGAGACGTTACTGGCGCCTGCTCGAGCAAATCGACGACTAACGGGAAGTTAAGTGATTAAGTGATTAAGTGGACTTCATGACCAATTCAATCAGTGGCTGAATAAATAGCAGTACTCCTACAAAAAAAAAAAAGACAAAACAAAAAATTTTAAATACATAGTCACCCATTGAGTAGAGTGTGCTTTTGGGGGGGGGGTCACACCTGGCAATGCTCAGGAGTCACTCTCTTTGCACTCAGGAATTACTCCTGGCAGTGCTCAGGGGACCATATGGGATGCTGGAAATCGAACCCAGGTCAGCCGCGTGCAAGGCAGACGAAAAGTCTGTTGGCAGATTATTGCTCCAGACCCAATCCAAGTTTCTTTTGTGTAAAATCTTGCGTAATGTAAAGCCTTGTTTACTTTTATTTTTTCTATCTTTGCTAAGGTACACATCCTGGAGAATTCTGTGTATTTTTCTCAATGATTTTGCTGGATACCAGCCTAATCTCAAGGTTTGTGTGTGTGTGTGTGTGTGTGTGTGTGTGTGTGTGTGTGTGTGTTTGCTTTTGGCTCACACCCAGCGATGCTCAGAGGTTACTCCTGGCTCTGCACTCAGGAATTACTCCTGGCGGTGCTCAGGGGATGATATGGGATGCTGGGAATTGAACCCGGGTTGGCCGCATGCAAGACAAATGCCCTCTCCACTGGACTATCTGTCCCTCTCTGCTGTACTATCTGTTGGGCCCCATGATCTCAAGGGGTTTTGTTTTGTTTTTCGCTTTTTGGGTCACACGTGACAATGCACAGGGGTTACTCCTGGTTCATGCACTCAGGAATTACTCCTGGCGGTGCTCAGGGGACGATATGGGATGCTGGGAATTGAACCCGGGTTGGCCGCATGCAAGACAAATGCCCTCTCCACTGGACTATCTGTCCCTCTCTGCTGTACTATCTGTTGGGCCCCATGATCTCAAGGGGTTTTGTTTTGTTTTTTGCTTTTTGGGTCACACCTGACAATGCACAGGGGTTCCTCCTGGTTCATGCACTCAGGTATTACTCCTGGCGGTGCTCAGGGGACCATATGGGATGCTGGGAATCGAACCCGGGTTGGCCGCGTGCAAGGCAAACACCCTACCCACTGTGCTATCTCTCCAGCCCCGATCTCAAGGTTTTTAAACCACTTTGAATTCACTTCTGCATATGGTGAGCTGTGGATGCAGACCCCTAACCCTCTTGCCCCTGGCTGCCCCCTTTCTCTCCTCCCCTCCCCCGTCTCCCTCCCATTGGCTGAAAGTGCCGGGACCTGCCCCAAACTGACTCCAGGAGCCTGAGCCCGTACATGTAAAGCCCCTCCTGAACTGTCTCGTGCCAGCGAACTGGCCTGAATACCGACAGGGTGGAGGAGCCCGACCGGAGGCCTGAACCCCAGTTCCCACAGTGGCCCTGGGCAGAAGTGCTGGGCGGACCCTCGCAGCCCACCGGGCCTTCCCGGGTCGTCCCGCCC